GCCATGCACCTTGGTCCTTTGAGTTCTGCACGCGAGCGGAATGCGTGCGTGCGTACATGCGCGCATGCATGTATACACGCGCACGTGCATGCACGTTCCGTATAAATGTCTAGGTGTATACAATATGCTTGGATTGTTGTATTTGTATACAGCGTACATATGTACATGTAAATCTATGTGTTTAAGGGTATGAACATGCATATGCAACTTGTACGGGGCATCCTCGGGCATCTTCGCTGCATGCCACGAGACCCTCAACGACTGGGTCACAATGTGAAATGTCATGGGAGCAAAATCAATGAATGTTGGCATTCGGAAACATCGTGGGGGTGTTTTCGGGGCCCTCGTGGGCCGCTTTGGCGCCTTCATGGGCCGTCCTGGGGCCTTCTTGGGCCGTCTTGGTGAGCTTGGGCCCGCTGCAGCCCCCTTTGGACCCATCTTGGGCACTTCCGGGGACCTCCCATGGCCCTTTTGGGTCTGTGCTGGGAGCCCTTGGGGGGCCTCTTGGTTCCATTATGGGCTGTCTTGGGGCTCTCGTGGGCGATCGTGGGGCCCGGCTCGGCCGTCTTGAAGCTTTCTTGGGGGCCTTTTGGGGCGTCTGAGGCGATCTCGGGGGCTTTGAAACCGTCTGATGAAATCCGAAAGGCGAAGATGCTTAAATTGTAAGTTTTACGAAGGGAATGGGACGATTTTTGTGTTTTGAAGGCCCCTTGGAAAGCTTTTTGGGGTGCCTTGGGGGTCTTTATGTTGGCATTCGGAAACATCGTGGGGGTGTTTTCGGGGCCCTCGTGGGCCGTTTTGGCGCCTTCATGGGCCGTCCTGGGGCCTTCTTGGGCCGTCTTGGGGAGCTTGGGCCCGCTGGAGCCCCCTTTGGACCCATCTTGGGCACTTCCGGGGACCTCCCATGGCCCTTTTGGGTATGTGCTGGGAGCCCTTGGGGGGCCTCTTTTGGGTCTGTGCTGGGAGCCCTTGGGGGGCCTCTTGGTTCCATTATGGGCTGTCTTGGGGCTCTCGTGGGCGATCGTGGGGCCCGGCTCGGCCGTCTTGAAGCTTTCTTGGGGGCCTTTTGGGGCGTCTGGAGGCGATCTCGGGGGCTTTGAAACCGTCTTGAAAGCTGATGGAATCCGAAAGGCGAATCTGCTAAAATTATAAGTTTTACGAAGGGAATGGGACGATTTGTGTGCTTTGAAGGCCCCTTGGAAAGCTTTTTGGGGTGCCTTTGGGGTCTTTTGGGCCGTCCTGACGCAATTGGAGTCCCTCTTGGAGCGCTCTTGTGCTGTCTGGGGCCTCCCTTGAGCCTCTCTGATGACCCCTCGGATCGCTCTGGGTCTGCTGGCAAGGCGTTTGTGGAGACTCGGAAAGCCAGGTGACCTTTTCCAAGGACGTCCAAGGGAGCCCGAGAACCCCAGATCCCAGGGGTCCAGTTTTTTTTGGGGGGGGAGGGTTCCCCCCCCCCGGGCTTGTAAAAATATAGGAAGAGGAATATAGCCCAACTTGTAGTGCACCGTATCGCACTACATGTATTGCACCACGCCACATGGATTGCAATGCCGATCTTGCACCACATAAATTGCACTACATGCGCCTAGACTTTCACAACGCACACACACACACACACACACATATATATATATATATATATATATTACTAGAGACGCACTGGCTGGGGTCCACGCTGGTGGGGTAAAAGTAGATTTTGCCTGCTAGAAAGGCTCAATATGCGAGCAGAGGGAACAACGGAAGCATAAGCCCGTTCCCTCCAGCGCGTGCGCACCGCGCAGGGTGCGTGGCCAGGCGGAACAACGCAGACCACGATCGATCTATGAAAAGCAATGGCGGGGGATCAGAATAACAAACCATAAGACGCCCTGCGCCGTCCCGCGCGCGCCGTGCGCGGCTCGAGGCAGAGGGGAACAACACAAGCACTTCGAGTTCGCTCGTTGAAAGGATTGGGGGTTGGGTTCGGGGACGCCTAAACGAACAAGACAGCCCCCCGCCCTTCGGCGCGCGCGCCGCGCAGCGCGCAAGGCCAGGGGACAACGAACCAGATGCGCACCTCGCTCGCTGAAGGGGCGACGTCAGGGGGAAGTAGCAAAGGAGCACTGCAAGACGCGCCCGCGCCCTGCAGCGCCCTGCAGCACCCTGCAGCGCCCCGCAGCGCCTTGCAGCGCCCTGCGGCGCGCAGAGCGCGAGAGCAGCGGTGGGAGGGGCGAGGGGGAGAACACTCGAATGTATACGTTACGTTCGTGTCGTGTCGACTGGCGGCACCCCTCCCCTGCCGCCGGCGTTCCACGTTGAACGCCGCCGGCGACCCAGAATCAGTCGATTGTGAACGATCTGACGTTTCGGAAACGGCCGATCGTTCAAGGTTGAACGATCCACGCGGTGTCAGAAACCAACGCCGAGGTCTGGTCGGCACGGCACGAACCTGCCGTACTTGCTCGCTGAAGCGGCGGGGCGCGGGGTGAGGGAGCGGCGAGGAGGCAGGCGCCAGGCCTTCGCGCGCGCGCGCCGTGCAGAGCGCGGGGCCAGGCGGACATACGTGCGGCGCGTGCTGCGCTCGATTGCGCGCGCTGGGTGCAAGCAGTGACGAGGCGTCCTGACCTGCCTGTAAGCTCACCGATGACTGTTCTAAGGATTTCTTTGTGGCTTGCACGGGAGGTTCTGAGGACATTTGCGGCTGAGGCCGTTTTGCTCTAATACACAGGGTTGATGTCATGAGAGTTTTGTAGTTGTTCTTAGAACATTCCACGCTAGGCCTAAAGGGATGCCGGGACGGCCGGTCTCTGCTCAAAGACTTGCGGGGAGAAGGCACAAGCAGCACCACGCGGGCGCCTTGCATCGCCCTGCGCCGCGCGCCGCGCAGCTTTGGTAGCAAATCGTGGGAGCCTTGTATGCCCTCGGAACTCCTCCTTTGAAGTGCAGTGGGGTTGTCGACGAGACATCGCCGATTTAGTGTCGTTCAGCGTCGATCCAGCGTCGATCCAGCGTCGATTCGCGTCGATTTAGCGTCGACTAGCGCCAGCGTCGAGTAGCCTCGTTTCGCAAGAGCCAACAAGACGGCATGGGAGGCTTCCACGAGTTGCCACCGAAGGGGGAGCGCACACACTTGGAGCTCGCTCGTTGACGAGATCAAGGCTGTGGGGAACTGCGCACACTGGCGCGCACCCGCGCCCTTCAGCGTGCGCGCCCGCGCGCCGCGTCGAGCGCAGACGCTGGGGAAGAAGCGCATGACCGAGCTCTGAGGAGCGAGGGTGGGGGGGAGAAACACTGAACAACACAGTGTGGGCCTTTGGAACGCCCTGCTCAGGAAGGGAAAAAACACACGGACACAATTAATCGTCGATCCCCAGGAAAATATGGGAAAATATGGGAAATGGGGGGAAAACGAAAATCTGAAAAATATGGAAACATATGGGGAATCCTTTTATTTGTGTGTATTTATTTGTGTGTCCCAGGGCCCCTGTACCTGCGCCTTGCCTCGGTAGTAAATCGTGGGAGCCTTCTGTGTGTCCGCAGAGTGCATTGGCGCACGCTGGCGTCTGGACGTCGACGAGAGAGCGTCGGTCAGCGTCGATTCGGTCCGACTAGCACTGGCCAGCGTCGACTCGCAAGAGCCAGCAGGTTGGCAGGGGCTGGGCATCGCTCGGGCGTGTGCATTGTTTCTCGGCGAGAACCATCGAGGACCACTCTAGACCATCGAGCAACAAAAAAAACACGCACGAAACCGAATGCACGGGAAATGGACGTCCGGGCGGCGGCAAGGGGGAGGCTCCCATGAGTTGCCACAGACCAGTGGGGGCCTCGGAGCGCCTTGCGCCAGGCGCAGCGCGAGGAGGCAGAGGGTCGAGTTGACTTCGCGCTCGTTGGAAAGAACGATGCCTAGGCAACGTGTGCAGACAGCAAAACAATGAACCCGCGCCCTCCAGCCCGCACGCGCCGTGCAGAGCCCAAGGGCTGGAACATTCGGTGAAATGCAGACGCCGCTCACTGGAGGGGCGGGGGCTTTGCGGGCGCCCTGCAGCGCCCCCTTCTGTGCAGAGCTCGCTGCAGAGGAGCAGCAAAGCCATGCACAGATTTCGCTCGTTGGCAGGGGCGATGCTCAATGACCGACAAAGTCAACGATATTGATAATGAGCGAGCCCGTGCCTTCTTAGCGCTCGCAGGCCACGCAGAGCGCGAGGCCAGGGGGACAGAAGAAGGAGGAGGAGGAGGTGGAGGAGGAAGATGAGGAGAAGGAGGACTCCGAAGGAGTCCCATGGATCTTCTGAGGAGAGAAGAACCAGAGGAGCAGGCCCAGCTCCGACGGGGAGGACGCGACTCGCAAGAGCCCCCCCCGCCCCGCTGGGCCCAGCTTCGCCGGGGCCGAGCCTCGCGCTGGGGGCGCTGCACAGTGCAGCTGCGGCCTGCTGCAGCGCCCCGGCCCTCACGGCTCGTGCCGAAACACGCCGTGGGCCCGCCGTGGGCCCACACGGCGGGCGGCGGCTCTGGTGGCTTCCGGCCCCTGGACGCCACCGCGCCGCTCGGGCGTGTGCATGTTTTCTCGGCGAGGAGCATCGAGGCACATCTTTGACCATCTAGCTGGAAATGCACGCACGGAATCGAAAGGTGCACGGGGAATGGACGTCCGAGCGATGGCGAGGCCATGAGGCTCCCCCCGCCCCCTCCCGAGACGGCCGACGCCCTCCCCCGCCCTCCGCCCTGCTCGCCCGTCGCCGGTGGCCTCTCTCTGATGGCCCGTGCTCTGGCGCTGCCCCCTCCGCTCTGGTCGGGCACGTCCTCCTGCAGGCGGTTTCTCTGGACGAGAAATAGAAGATGCCCCACAAGTGCTCGAAAACAGCCAAACATGGTCAAAAGATCGTCCCCAGACCATTTTTGGACTATTCTTGAGTCTTCCTCCTGCAGGGGGGCACGCCCGACTTCACCCTCCGCTCCCCCCCCCCCCCGCCGCCCTCCCCTGCGCCCGCCGCGCCCGCGGGGTCGCCCCAGCGGGGGCCGAGGTGCAAGGACGAGAGCCAGCTGACCTGGAAGCAGCGCAAGGAGCGCATGCAGCAGCACATCACCCTCGAGTGCCGCCGCCTCCGGCCTGGGAGGAAGGGGGGGAGAGGGAGGGAGGAGGGGGGAGGAGGTTGAGGAGGAGGAGGAGGAGGAGGAGGAGGAGGAGGAGGAGGCGGAGGCGGAGGAGGAGGAGGAGGCGGAGGAGGAGGCGGAGGAGGCGGGAGGAGGAGGAGGAGGCGGAGGAGGAGGAGGAGGCGGAGGAGGAGGAGGAGGCGGAGCGGAAGAGGAGGAGGAGGAGGAGGAGGAGGAGGAGGAGGAGGAGGAGGAGGAGGAGGAGGAGGAGGAGGAGGAGGAGGTAGGAGGAGGAGGAGGAGGAGGAGGAGGAGGAGGAGGAGGAGGAGGGGGGGCCGCAGCCCCTCCGTGCCCCGCCCTCGGGAGCGCTGCGCAGCGGCGCCGCGGGCCGAGGGGAAGGCGTGAGCACGGAGCAGTCGGGGCAACGGAGTCTGCACACGTCCGCTGCTTCCCGGCCAGGCCCATCCTGGACCCAGGACCTCGCACGCCCTTACCATCATACATGCTTTATGATTTTATCTGCAGGAGTGCCCCCTTGCAAGACGAGAGCGCCATGGCTCTGCAATTCAGGTGATAACCCCATCTTGAAAAGGAGGTGCCATCCATCAGGAGCTGTGCATACAATGGGGGCCCATGCCATGCCTAGAAGCATCCTGCTTGCCTCCAGGGTGCCCTTTGGTTTCATGGGTTTCGGTAGCTTTGCGACGGGAAGCGTGGCGCTCCCGCACTTAAATTCAGTGGACGTCCTGGGAATCCAGGCTTGGGTTTCTTGTGGAAGGATTCTTGTGGTCGAGCCCCTACTGTACGCCCTCCTGGCCAAGCCAGGAGGCTGTGGCGTATACACCGCTGCTGGGTTCAGAATGGGTCTGGCCAGGGAGTAGTGGATATGTATAGACTTCGTCGCCCTAAACAGGGCGCATGGGTTTTGGCGACGGGTCCCCGCTTCGTGCAGATGTTTCGGGCCCCAGAGGGGCAGCAACAGGTCGGCGGCGAGCGAGGGGGGGGTGGAAGCGAGAAGGAGGAGGCCTTCTAGGAAGGCGGCGGGGCTTCTCGGAAGTTTGTCGGCCTTCCGAGGCGTTCTCTGTGCCTTGGGGGAGGGCTTGGAACACTTCTCAGAGGGACGGAGGACTTTCGAGCCTTCTGAGAAGGCCCGCCCCCTCTCGCTTGCCCCTTGCGCGCTGCCGAAAAGAAGACTCGACGTTCGCAAATTCTGTCCATGGTGGGCAGGAGGAGGGGGATTGACAGTATTGGCGGCGCGCAAAATCAGGGGCATCGCCAGGGGAGGGAGGGGGGCTCAGGGGGGAACGCATCGACCACCAGTCGCCCACTAATCGCCGATAGGGGCCCCATAGCCCGCTTTGCCAAGGAACGTACGGATTCGCTATCAGGGGTCTGTCGCCGATCTGTCGGCGATGTGTGGCCAATTCCGGGTTGATGTTCCCCGAGGTAGTCACCACTATCGTTCCCCCTTACGTCGACAATCTTGGCGGCCCTCACACGGCATTGGCGACAGAAGGCGGGCCGCTTTCAAGAAGGCAGGGGGGAACTTCTCACAAGCTCTCCGAGGCTTCGGAGAGCCCTTCCCGGAAGCTGGGAGGGCCTCGAAGAAGGCCCCTGCCTTCCTGCTCACACGCTCTGAAGCTTCTGAGAGCCCTCCCCAGAAGCTGGGAGGGCTTCGCAGAAGGCCCCCATGCCCTCTGAGAAGTCCACCGCCTTCTGCGAAGGCAGTCCCCCCAATGCGCCTCCCCCCAATGCGCGCCGCGAGAACCATCGCGGTTGCCGGTCTCAGCCTGCGACTCGTTGGCGCACCACCCCCCGAGGGAGCGGCCGCATTCGGCGCGCGGCGCTCCGCTCGCGCTGGGAGGTCGATCTCGGGCCGTCTGCGCCAGGGGCGCTCGCCCGGGGGATGTCTTGTCGAGCGCAGAGCATGGAGGACGACGAAGGGGAGGAGGAGGAGGAGGGGGAGGATGGGGGAGGAGGAGGGGGAGTAGGAGGAGGAGGAGGAGGAGGAGGAGGAGGAGGAGGAGAGGAGGAGGAGGAGGAGGAGGAGGAGGAGGAGAGGAGGAGGAGGAGGGAGGAGGAGGGGAGGAGGAGGAGGAGGAGGAGGAGGAGGAGGAGGAGGAGGAGGAGAGGGAGGAGGAGGAGGAGGAGGAGGAGGAGGAGGAGGAGGAGGAGGAGGAGGAGGAGGAGGAGGAGGAGGAGGAGGAGGAGGAGGAGGAGGAGGAGGAGGAGGAGGAGGAGGAGGAGGAGGAGGAGGAGGAGGCGGAGGAGGAGGAGGGGAGGGAGGAGGAGGAGGTGGAGGTGGAGGAGAGGGTGGAGGTGGAGGTGGTGATGCTGGTGGAGGAGGAGAGGAGGAGGAGGAGGAGGAGGAGGAGGAGGAGGAGGAGGAGGAGGAGGAGGAGGAGGAGGAGGAGGAGGAGGAGGAGGGGGAGGACCGTTTGCAGCCCTACCGAGCACACGAATGCAGATAATCAAGGGCATGATCGAAGACGCCTCAGGCGAGTCGTCAACGCCACCCTGACCTTGCTCTGAAGACACTCCTGTGGCCAGATGTTGGGCGAAAGTCTGGCAACGTCGAAGAGGGAACAACATGCATAATCAGAAACTGTTCCGCCTCCCTGGCGCGCGGAGCGCGCCAGGGGCGGCGCTGGAGGCGCCGTCAGGGTCCAGCGCAGATCCAAATCCGCGCGGAGCTCCAAATGTTCATACTTGTGCCGTTTATCTTGCACTACTCTGCTGAAGATAATGCAGTGCTTCTGCAACGAGGCTTTCTTTTCTTTCAGAAACCGTTTGCGCTCCTGCGCTGTCCAGCGAGCGTGTTGGAGACAATCTTGGATTATATTTAGGCTCTATAGGCCCATCTGGAATTCCCGCTGGGCAAGTTCGGCGGCCATCTCGGCAATCAGGGTCCATCTAGGGGGCCGTTGGCCGCCTTGGAATCCTCTTGGGCAAACTTGAACGTCTCTTTGATGCCATCCTGATCCGAAAAACGGGCAAGGAGAAGCTAGCTACAGAAAACAAAGGGCTTGTGGACAGTTTTGGGGATGACTTAGACCCACCGCCTTTGGACCAGACGGCTGGGTGCAGCGGGCTAAAGCATTCTCGGTTTGCTTGGAGCCATCTGGGACCAGCTTCGCGCATCGTGTTTGGAATCTGATTTTGCCACCCGCCTTTGTAGGTCTTTGTCGTGGGTGGTGCAGTTGATGGTGCTGATCTTCACCTCCTCCCGCTTTTTCCCGTTTCTCCAGGTGGGCCAAGAAGGCGGTGAAGGACATGCTCGAGAAGAACGAGACGGTACCCTCGGTAGGGTGGAATTTCCTCGCCTGGGTGAGGGACGGGGGAGCCAGTGTGAGGGAGGATGTGGAAGGAAGGAAGGAAGGAAGATAGCCAGGGCGAGGTGGCGAGAAGTGTGCAGGAGGGACGGGGCGAGAGAGGTCGTCGGATGTCTTTGGATGCTTCCTGGAGGTTTTCGGGGGTCTTCGAAGGTTTTCTTCGCATGCCCTCTGCTCTTGTTTCTGATGTTGTTGCACGCTTTCGGCCCCCTGGGTGCTTTTCGTCGGCTGCACCCCGTCGAGAGGCGCACGGGGGGTGCCCAGGTCATCCCGAACGGCCGCCTCGGGCTCGGGTTGGGGCCTGCGAGCCAGGGCCGCAGCGTCCCGAGTGGGGGGTGAGGGGCGCGGGAAGGCACGGGGATGGAGACGGGAGGGAGGGGACCCAGAGTTCCTCGCGTTGTGACAAAAATCAAGACGGGAGGTTTTTCGCCATCTTCGGCCTTTGGGGACCCTTCCCGGGCTTCAGGGCCGTCAACAAAAGGGACACAGGCTGAAAACGGATCGGAAAGGGGTCCAGACCTTTGGGGGTCAACGTTGTGAACAACAATCACGACGTCGGGGGTCTTGGGAGGAAGAGGAGGGGGGAGAGGGAGGGAGCGGAAAGAGGGGAAGCGTGGATCGGGAGAGCGAGTTTGCATGATGATACGGTCTCTCCTACCTCCTTCCTCTTTACCCTCCCCCTCCTATCTCCCTATCACTCTTCTCTTTCTCTCCCGAACGCCACGCCATGCTATGACATACTACGCTCTGCCGTGCTCCTCTACGCCCTGCAATGCCGTGCTCTACGATGCATCGCGCACCCTCTCGGGATCATTGCCCTGCTCGACATCCGGCTGTGCGAGTAGAGAGGATATCTACGCACTGGTAAGGGATGGGAGGGATGGGTAGGATGCCGGATATGATGCGAGCGCACCTAGCTAGTCTCCATTCCCATCCCCCTCCTCCCCTCCTCCGCCTCGTCGTGGGGACTACGACTATGTACCGATCCTGGCCAGGCCCACCCTGGATCATTGTTTTTGATCGACGCATATGCCTGCCTGGCCAAGCCAGGAGAGCACATACGCACCGATCCTGAGCCCACGACCTGCCTCCTCCTCCTCCCTCCCTCCTCCCCCCCCCCCCTCTCCTCCTCCCCCTCTCCTCCTCCTCCTCCTCCTCCTCTCCTCTCCTCCTCCACCTCCTCGTCCTCCTCCACCTCCTCCTCCTCCTCCTCCTCCTCCCCCTCCTCCTCCTCCTCCTCCTCCTCCTCCTCCTCGTCCTCCTCCTCCTGCCAGGTCCCCGAGTGGATGGACAAGATTGTGTCCGACGACGAGAAGAGGGGCAAGGCGAAGTGGGCGGTCGCGGAGTCCAAGCGCCTGAAGGCCGAGGGAAAGGACGCGGGGCGCACGGGAGAGGTCGCCGAAGCCGACTTGAGCACGATACTGTCAGAGGGGGAGAGTGAGAAGGAGGACAGTGCGCTCTCTCTCAGAAGGCGAAAACCCACCCCCACCCCAAGTCCCGACTCACATCCTCGAGCCGGCGACTCAAGGGGTCGGGACTGGGGGTGGGGGTGGGTTTTCTCCATTCTTGGGCCCCGAGAAGCCACCCCCACCCCCATTCCCGACCCCCTGGATCGCGGGTGCGGGGATAGGGTCGGGACTGGGGGTGGGGGTGGGTTTTCGCTTTCCACTCTCTGGACCGCAGCGCACTGATGTGCGCTGGGCCGCTGCTCTTGGCTCTCTTTCAGGGGACCTTGCTGCTCATGACTGTCCCCAGGACCGCACCGCGTCTCCGTGCGTCCGCTCACCTGTCCGGGGTCAGTGTCTATCCAGTCGATCCGATGCGATGTCGATCCTGGCTGGCTTGATCCAATTCGATAATGATATTCCGACGATCCGATGCGGCACCGATGCTAAAGCCGCGTTTGTTCAACTTGGCGCCGCCGATCCGATTCGATTTCGACCCCGTGCCGATGCGGCCCGATCTGACGCACATTTCGATTCGATCCGATTTCCCAATCCGATGCTGACTGATCCTGCCTGTCCGTGGTGGCATCTGTCATTTGTGTTCTACAGTTGCCCGTTCGTCAGCCTATCCGCCCACAAGCTGATGCCTTTCCTGTCTGTCCTCATCCGCCACCTTTGCTGCAAGCGCCCTGGACACGCGCTCTGCCCCCCTTTGGGGCGAGCGCTGCAGGCGTGCCCAGCAGCAGCGGAGCTGACTCACCACCCTCCTTCGTAGCGTCGGAGCTTCTGTTCGGATCCACGGTCGAACGAAGCAGCTTCGCCGAGTGGCCCGGGCGCCCTCTTCCTCTTGGAGCTCGGGTCAAGCTGGTACCATTTCTGCTACTCCTGCTGTCGGGAGGCCCCGCCATTTCGAGCTGATGCGCCCACTCCATCCTCGCGCCTCGCACGGTGCCCAAGCCTGCTCTTGACAAGCTCGCCCATGCCGCTGGCTAGCACAGCCCAGCCCTGCCCTGCTGGCCTTGCCCCCGAACCGGCCCAACATGTGACCCGGCGCCGCCCAGCACAGCCCTGCCCGCCGGCCCAGCGAAGACCAGCCCAGCCATGACCAGCCGAGCCGAGCGAAGCCAGAGGGGAATGGGGAGGGCGAGGGGGAGGTGGCAGGGTCAGTTTCGATCCGATCGATGTGATTCGAGATCGCTTCCGGCTAGCTCGACCCGATACTCGGTTCGATTCTGACGCTCCGATGCGGCCCGATGTTGGCATGGCGTTGTTCAGTATCCTGGCGCAGCTGATCCGATTCGCATTTGTCTCCGTGTCGACGCAGCCCGATCCGACGCACTTCAGATTCGACCTTATTTCTCGATCCGATATTGGCTGATCTTGGTTTATTGCAGGGTGGGACGAGGGAGGTTGGCAGGGGAATGTGGGGGGGGAGTCCAGGAGAGAGGAGGGGTCGCGCAGGAGACGCCGAAGTGGATGGACGAGATCGTGGATGAGGAGCCGACGCCGTCCCTTTCATGCAGCCCGGCAGCCGGTCGATCAGGTGCCGTCGTCGCCTTCTGCTCCACTTCCTCCGCCCTTTCCCCTCCCCCTCCACCTGCCCTTCCCCTTCCACCTTCTCCGCCTCCGCCTCCCCCTCCGCCTCCCCCCTTAATGCCCCCCCCTCTCCCCACCCCTCCCGTTGCCCCGTCGCCTCCTCCGCCTTCTCGCCCGCCCCAAGAGGTCACCGCGGGGGGTGCCACAAGAAGGCCGGGCCGTGCAAGTGACTTCGCTCGCCCGCCCACCCGCACTCCACGTGCAGTCAAACGGGATAACGAGGACGAGTAGCTCTCCAGAGGCGCCCTTTCATCCCTGCAGCTTCTGCCCGGCCTTGCGGTTGGCGTTGCAAAGATCCGCGTGCGATGTTGCGCCGTTGGCTCGTGAGCCCTGGCAGGGGGACAGCGCGCACAGAAGGGGCCCTCGCGGGGGGGTCGCCTCCCAGGGATACTGGGTGCTTTTCGGATACCGATGCTGCACGCCATCTTTGCAACGCCAGCTGTAGCCATCATCGCTGGCCGTTTTTGCTCAAGTGGGTTCAAGTTGGGCGTCCAAGGTCCGTGCATCCTTGCCACGCATTTCCATGATCCCGCCGCGTTGTAAGAGCTCCGAGGCCTGGCAGGCTTGCTGCCTGATCGGCTCCCGACCGCCTCGCCTCGCCTCGCCTCGCTCCGAGCCTCCTTGCATTGCCTCCTCTTTGGCTCTCCTCCTCTTTCGCTTCTCCTCCTCCTCCTCCTCCTCCTCCTCCTCCTCCTCCTCTTGCTCCTCCTCCTCTGACGAGTTGGCAGATTGCGCGGCGAGCTTGTGTTGGATCCTGGAGTCCTTCCGACACCAGGTGCACCTCGTCGAGAGTAAAGTCATGCGTGTTAGAATGAGGTTCTTACGGGCCACACTAGACTGCTTTGCTGCCGAGAAGGTTGTTGCTCTGGAGGGACAGGAAAAGAGAATGGGTCCCACCTCCCCCTCCTCCCCCTCCCCGTCCTGCTGCTGCTGCTGCTGCTGCTGCTGCTGCTGCTGCTGCTCTCGCCCCGCTCATGTCGGCTCACAGGCTCTCGGAGTGTAAACATAGGTGTCTGAAATGCGTCGGTTTGGCCACAGGCCACAGTTGCCATGTGGTGGAAGACTGGTTGCCCTGCTCTAGTCAACGTAGACGGCATTATGTCTCCGTCAGGGGGTGTCAAAATCCATGTTGCGGGGGGCTGGCTGCATTTTCCTATCTTCTCAGATATCATACTCATTGAAAGGTTTGGTTATGCGGGCATTGCGGGGGTACCGCTGATAAGCAGCTTCGGTCCCTGGGCAAGCCATGTGCGCCCCCCCCCCCACACACGTACGGGGCGGGAAAACCTAGATCGCACAAAGAAGGGGCCGACCCCCAAAGTCCTAAGCAAGGCCGACCACGCGCGGCGGCAGCGAGGGCCTCCTCTTTAATGTGGTCCTGATCGGTACTGGCTGCGCCACTGGCTCCTGCTCCCACTTCCTGCTCCTCCCCCAGTCCACTGCCTCGCCCCGATCGCCTCTGCCCTGCGTCGCGTCCCTCGCCTCGCCTCCTCCACGTCGCCTTGCCTCTTCTCGGCTCTGTCGTGCTCCTCCGGAGATGGCGCCTGGGTCGCCCGATGGGATCTCTGCACGTTCTTGTTCCCAACCATCCTGTGGTGTTGGGTCCTCGTTTTGAAGAGACAGCGCCGCGCGTCCTTCCTTCGCCTCCCGCTGCCCCCCCTCCCTCTCCCCATCATCAGCATCACCGTCACCATCATCATCGTCATCATCATCATCACCATCATCATCAGTTCGGCACACCCTCACACGGTTCGTGGCCCCATAGGGAGCTCTAGCGAAGGCCCCAGTGGGTGCGTCCGCATGCGTCACCGCCACCCAGGACAGCGTTTCGTGGCCCCATAGGGAGCTCCACCGAAGGCTCCAGTGGCAGGGTCCGCATGCGTCCGCGCCACCCATTTCGGCGCACCCCTCGCACGCGCTTCGTGGCCCCATAGGGAGCTTCACCGCAGGCGGTACCCACACTGCGGCACTCGCAGCTGCACATCGCTTGGGTCCTTCGTCAGGCCAATTTTTTTTGTTCGCCCCGTCGGCCTTCAGGGCGCGGAGGCCGTCACGCGCTATATTCTTCCTGGTCCGGTCGTGGCTGGTGTCAGGTCGGGCCTGTCCCCCTACAGGGGGACAGGCCCTGCAGGTGGGCGAACAGTTCCAAATACCCCCAAAATACTCCAAAGATCTTCGGAACTAGGCAAAAATCATCCCCAGACTATTTTTGTTTAAACTATTTTCAAATATTCCTCCTGTGGAGGGACACGCGCGACTTCAGGCTGGTGGAGCTCCACGGTTCTGGGCAGAGCGAGGTCGAGGTTCACCACCCACCAAGCCACCCCAACCCAACCCGAGGGCCTCAGTCTGCCCCCCATCCATTCCCAGTGGTGGGGGGGTCGGAGAGCATGGAAAGACACACATGAAACCCGTCCCTCCTCCTCCTCTTGTCCCTCCTCCTCCTTCTCCTCCTCCTCCTCCTCCTCCCCACCCCCCAACCCGAAATGCGGGTCTTGGGGTTGGGTTGGGGTGGTGTGGTAGGTAGTCAGGAAGAGGTTCCGATGCCGCTGCTCGTCCTGGAGGGTGCTCGTCACCACGTCTGCATTCCCCGTGGGCTCCTGGTCAGCGGGCACCCTGGGGCTGGGTCCAGGGAGCGGCGGCATAGGTACAGTGGAGGCCCACGTCAAGAAACACCCTGCTTGCCTCGAGGGTGCCCTGGGTCACGGGAGGAACAACCACCCGGACTGGACAATTGGCGTTTACTAAACGGCCCTGGGCGTTTACGAAACAGCCCTGCCCGTTTTGGTGCCTTCTTTGGGCGCGTCTGCTAAACGGTTTCGCGTGTCGAGGTGGTTCTTGTCGGGGTGGATTTTCTGCCCTCGTCTGCCTTTCTCGTGTTTCGATGACCTGGTAGGTTGCGGGCGAGGAATCTGGGCGCAGGGCACAGCCAGCTGGCCGGCCAGCGCGCCAGCGGAGGGCGGACCGTGCGCCGAGGCGACCGGGAGGGAGGTCCTCGCGGCACGGCTCCGCGGGGAGGGCGGCGGACCTCTCGGAGGGCCCCCTGCGAGCTCTCGCGGTGCTCAGCTGGGCCGTCCCGGGGCCCTCTCGGGGCTCCTGGAGGGGGGCTAGTTCGTTGGGGGTCCTGGGCTCCGTCTGTCAGGAGGGGAAGAAAAACGCACAGACACAATGCATCGTCGGCTTCCAGGGAAACATGGGAAAGTCTGGGAAGTGGGGGGGAAGACGAAAACCCAGAGGATATGGGAAAATATATATGGGAATCCTGGGATCTGCGCGTGTCTTTCTTCGTGTGTCCTCGGGCCCCTTGAGCCTGGCTGTCTTGGGGGTCCCTCGTGGGCCGTCCCTGGGCCCTCTCGGTGCGGCTTGGGGGCTGCCCTCGCCGACCCGGGAGGCCCCGAGGCCGCGGGGGGCCCGTCTCGGGGGCGCCCGGGGCCGCCCGAGGGGCCCTCCGCGTGGGCCGTTCCGGGATCGGCCGCGTCCCCGGGGGCTCTCCTTGGCCGTCTGCGTGGGGCCGTCGCGGAGCCGTCGTGGTGCCCCGTCTGGGGCCGTCCAGGGGCCCTCGGGAGCCGCCCTGGGCTTGTCCAGGGGCCCTCGCACTTTCTGGTTCCGGATTGGGGTAGTTTGATCGCCACTTCCCGCCGCGCAGGTTGGGACGCTCGAGGGAAAAGCTTGTCCAGGGGCCCTCCTGGGGCCAGCCCGGGGCTCTCGTCTGGGGGGCCTTCTGTGGTCTGTCTTCAGGTCGTCTCGGAGACCTCCATGGCGCTATCTGGAGCTGCAGAGTGCTTGAGCAGGGGAAGGCGCCCGGATAGATTTCCTGGGTGGAACAGATATAGCATCTGCGGGCCCTCGTGGGGGTCCTCGTGTGGCTTTCTTAGGCAGTCTTCGGGCCTCTTGGGCCGTTTTGAGGCGATGTTGGGCCGCCTTGGGGCCAAGCTGGGCCGTCTTGGAGGCATCTTGGGCCATCTTGGCGGCCTTGGTTGCCTACCTCGGCCGTCTTGGAAGCTCGGGAACGCGGACCCATAGTTTTTTCGAGTGATCGGGGCCTCGGGAGCGCGGATCTTAATTTTCACAGATCGTGGCCTCGGGAGCGAGTACCCATTGTTTTTCTTCGAGGTATCGTGGCTTCGGGAGGCGGAAGGGGACACATGCAACAGTCTGCGCTGAGAGGGGGTATGTCCTTTAGAATATTTCAGAACACCGACCAGGCAGCCCTTGGCCTTCTGCCACGCCTCAACGTGCCAGGGGGGGAGGGCACGGTGGCGGATGCACCGCCACCTTGCCTTCGGCACCACCCAAACATATACACATGTATACATATATATATATATATATATATATATATATATATATATATGTGTGTGTGTGTGCACACGATATGTGCGTCGGCCGCGCAAGGGCGACGCTCACGCTCGAAAATAGTGTCTATACAACCACCCTTCGGAGGTTGGAGGGGTTAAAGACCTACTATGGCAACTGCGATGGTTGTGATGATGACGATGCTGGTGATGCGCCCTCGAGTAATTAGGCGACGACGCGTGATGACGATACTGCGCCGCGATGTGATCTCTTTGTCGATCTCACTTTCGATCTCAGTATCGGCCTCACTCGGTCTCATTCGCTCGTTCTCACCATCGATCTCATTCAATCGATCTCTCGGTCGACCCCGCATCTGAACACCAATCGGGATACCAATCGGGATACCGACGGAACACCACAGGGCACCGACGCGACACCGGCGGGGCACCGACGGGACACCGACGGGACACCGACGGGACACCAACGGGGCACCGATGGGACACCGACGGGACATCGACGGGACATTTTGCGTATCGGATTTTCTGCGATCTGACCCCAAGTCTCACCATCGATCTCACTAGCGATGCTGGAAACTACCGTTCTGCGATCGGGGTACCACCCGATCGGGACCACCGGGGCGCCATCGGTACACCACCAGGGCATCATGCCGGCACCACAGGGACACCATTTGGACACCATCTGGAACCCATCGGAACACCACTCGGGGCACCTATCGGGAAACCAACAGGACACCATCGAGACACCATCGAAACACCACCAGGACACCATCAGGACACCAATCGGGACACCAATGGGGACATCAATCGGGACACTAATCGCGACACCGACGGGACACTCGAGGAGATACCGACGGGGCACCGACGGGACACCGACGGGACACCGACGTGACACCAACGGGACACCGACGGGACACCAATCGCGACACCGACGGGACACTCGAGGAGATACCGACGGGGCACCGACGGGACACCGACGGGACACCGACGGGACACCGATGGAAACACCAACGGGACACCGACGGGACACCGACGGAACACCGACGGGACACCGACGGGACACCGACGGGACACCGACGGGACACCGACGTGACACCGACGGGACACCAACGGGGCACCAACGGGACACCGACGGGACATCGACGTGACAGCGAGGGGACACCACGGCGGGACAACCCGGCCACCGCACGCCCATCGGGGGTGATTCGGACAATTGTCTTGCCCCGCCCTAGCAATACCGGAATCATTCCTCTCGCCCGCCCACTCAGCTTCGCATCGCCCGCACGCGCGACACGAACCCGAATCCGAAACCGATTTCCCGGTGGGGGGCTCTCCGTTCTGCTTCGATCTCACCCCCGAGCTCCGATGCACTTTTTACGGGTTGGGCGTGCGTCTTCAAGAGAGGCACATCGTGCCAGTATGTCTTTATGCGTCCCATGCCTGGCCAGGGCCATGATGGACCCCAGGGTGGTGTCTGGACCGACCTTGCGCGGGCGCACGTCGGCGCGGCTGTCCCATGGGCAGCGCCACGCGCTCGCGGCCTCTGGTGGGGGGCTCGGGAGGGGCGGGCGCCAGCAAAATCGGGCGGGGAGGAGGAGGAGGAGGAGAAGGAGTAGGAGGAGGAGGAGGAGGAGGAGGAGGAGGAGGAGGAGGAGGAGGAAACGAAAAAGAGAGAGAGAGAGAGAGAGAAGAGAGGAGGAGAAGGAGGAGGAGGAGGAGGAAGAGGAGGAGGATCTAGGCCTCCGAGATGGGGTGCGAGTTGATTGGGTCAGAGGATCTCGCCGCATCGCCGATGCATCGCCGATGCGGCTTGATGTGGATGCCGATTTTCTCCACGTCGACGGCGCCGACGCATCGCCGATGTCGCCGATGTATCGCCAATGTATCGGCGATGCGGTGCGATCTTCCGACCCCATCAACTCGGACGCCATATAGGAGGCCTCTTGTGGAGGAGGAGGAGGACGAGGAGGAGGAGGAGGAGGAGGAGGAGGAGGAGCGAAGGATCTAACGAGCGAATGAACGAAGGAGCGAAAGACGAGGATGAGGCGGACGAGGAGGAGGAGGCAGGAAGGAGGAACGAAGGAGAGAAGGAGCGACTGGGAGCGAAGAAGCGACGGAGGCGGAGGAGGAGGAGGAGGAAGAGGAGGAGGAGGAGCAGGTGGAGGAGGAGGGGGAGCGAAGGAGGATAAGGAGGAGGAGGTGGAGGCGGACCCGGGCCGGGTGCTTTCGCAGGACGCCAAGTGGGCCAACCGCTGGGCGGCGTGCAAGGTCGCGGAGCTGCAGCAGGCGAACGAGGAGGCGCCGCGCGCCTCGCTTCGAGGGGGGAGCCGGGCAGTGCGTGAATCAGAGGAGCGAAGCGCACCGGTGCTCGATACAGTCAAGGCTCTGAGGTAAAGAGCACTTTGGGCTCGGGAGCGGCTCTGGTTTCCGAGTCGTTCCCTCGAGTTCTGTCGTGGAGCCTATTCGTGACCGAGGCTCGCCGTGGCCCGAAAAGCCCCGTCGTACCTTCGCCGGCGTTCCTTCCGGTAGCACGATGATGGTACGATGCCGAGCCGCCGCCCAGATGCGGCCATTTTTTGCGGCAACACTTGGAGGAGCAGGAAGCGCAGTGGCATGTCGGATTTCCAGACGAGGGCACTTACAGGACGCACCGGACGCACAAGGCGAGAAACGAAGGGTAGTTTATGTATGACCTTGCGCAATAACGCGGCCACGTTTGGAAGAATTTGGCATGAGTCATACACATCTATCTGCTTGATAATGTTGAAATCATGAGCACACGTGTCATGTTGTGTAGAGTAGTCACCTTCGGACCAGATGGGGACAGCTGGAGGAAGCCAACGATGGATGCACAAGGCGAGAAACGAAAGGTAGTTTATGACCTGGCGTAATAACCTAGCTACGCTTGGAAGAATTTGGCATGGGCCATACAACTCTATCTGCTTGATAATGTTGAAATCATGAGCACACCTGTCATGTTGTGTAGAGTAGTCACCTTCGGACCAGATGGGGACAGCTGGAGGAAGCCAACGATGGTCACGCTTAGAACGGATCCGGATGCGGACGACGAGCTGGAAAGCGCGCAGGACGATCTTAGGGCCAGTAGAAGTAATGCCGCCGTTGACGCGCAGGCGCCTCAGTGGATGATCGAGAACGGCAGGAAGGGCATCCTGGAGGCCGCTGCCGAGAAGGCGGCCGAGCTCCAGGCGCGCGTCCGCCTCACTTCTCATTACCCCGATGCCGACACCGGTGAGAGGGAAGTTGTGGTGGAAGAGTGGTGGAAGAGTGGGGGAGGAGAGTGGGCGGAAGAGTCCAGTCATTGAGCAACCTGATTAATCCACAGCCATTTGTCTGCTGCTCATCGGGCTTGTCATGGCATTCGCCCGGGCGAAAGAAAGATGACGGTCGGTCGGTGGGTTTAGGACCTCGAGTGACTCAGTTTGCTGAGCTCTTGCCGGGGGGGAGGCAACAGTGGCGGCCCCCAGCCCAGTAGAAGCGCGGGATGCTCGACGGATGGCGGGGAGTGGGAGCAGGAGGGGTCGAGAGGGGAGGGAAGCAGACTAGGGGATCGGCACGGAAGAGAGGGGGACGGGAATCAAGGGAGGCGCGAGCCAGGACACACACACACACACACACATATATATATATGTATATATATATATATGTACACACATATGTACATACCGATACGCATAAAACATTGCGCTGACGCTTCGCGCCATCCATCTACTTTCATCAAGTTTGGCAAGCAGGCGGAACGGGAAATTGGTAATCAGTAAGCATTGCGATAATTCCTTGTAACCGTTTTCGCCATCGTCCGTGTATGTGTGTTGTTCTTTGCCATTGCCTCATCTTGTCTCTCCCTCTTCCTCGGTCCCGCCCTACCCTGCAAACCCTTCCCCGTCCCCTTCAGTCTTTCCCAACCATCCGCGGTGGTGTTGGGCCCTCATTTTGAAGAGACAGCGCCCCGCGTCTCCTCTCCTCTCCTGCCCCCCCTCCTTGTCTCATCCCTGCCGCTGCACTCCGCATGTCCTCAGAACCACCATCGCACACCCTTCACATGTTCCGCGGTGCCATAGGGATCTCCACCGAAGGCCTCAGCGGCGGGGCCCGCATGGCGTACCCGCACCCGATCTCGGCGCACCCCTCACGCGCGCCGTGGTGCCATGGGGAGCTCCACCGCAGGCCCCAGCGGCCCAGCTGATGGGTCCCCACGGTGTACCCGCGCCCGATTCGGCACGCCCCTTATAACCTTCGTGGCCCCATGAGGCGCCCAACCGAAGACCCACGCGGCAGGCTCCGCATGACGTGCTCGCACCCGTTTCGGCACACCCTTCGCACGTTTCGTGGCCCCACCGTGAACTCCACCAGATGCCCCAGCGGCAGGGTCCGCACGCAGTACGACGTCACTCCGCTGGGTCCCCAGTAGCCCACGAACGTGGCGACAGTTTCACAGTTCGCAGGCCCCGAGGGGGCGGCGAGGTATCATTCTGACCGATCTGATCCGCGCAAGACGTCACTGCGCTGGGCCCGGCAGGAGCCCACGAAAGTGGAGACCGTTTCACGGTTCCCAGGCCCCGACGGGGACAGCGAGGTCTCATTCAGATCCGCGTGAGAGGTCATTCCGCTGGGTCACCAGGAGGTCACGAAATTGGCGACAGTTTCACAGTTCGCAGGACGGCGAGGGCTCATTCATATCCGCGCAAGACGTCACCACTCCGCTGGGTTAGGTAGGAGCGCACAAACATGGCGACATCTTCACACTTCCCAGGCCCCGATTGGGGGGGGGCGGCGAAGTTTCATTCAGATCCGCGCAAGACGTCACTCCGCTGGGCCCCCAGGAGCCCACGAAAGTGGCAACAGTTCAATAATTCGCAGGCTCCAAGGGGACGGCGAGGAGGAAGCAGAGGAGGGGAGGAGGAGGAGGAGGAGAAGGAGAGGGAGGTGGAGGAGGAGGAGGAGGAGGAGGAGGAGGAGGAGGAGGAGGAGGAGGAGGAGGAGGAGGAGGAGGAGGAGGAGTAGGAGGAGGAGGAGGAGGAGGAGCAGGAGGATGAGGAGGAGGAGGAGGCGGGATGGAGGTGATGAAGAGCACGGTGTTTTATTGCCCAAAACGAGAAGAATTCAACCAAGGGGGGGGATGGGACACCGCGATGTGAACAAATTGAGACGTCGGGGGTCTGGGCTTCTGGTTGCCACGAGCTGGCTGTGAGCATGGTCAGAAGCTCTGACTGTGTTGCTGGTGGGGTGGTTGCACCGCCGACAGCTCAGTATCAGTACTCCGCTATTGGTAGCAGGCGTGGACGGGGCGCCAGCCCCGCCGACAGCCCCCCACTTCGCTTCCCGCCGCGGGTAAGCATTACTGCGCGACATCGGCCCCAGTCGGCCCACGCCACCCGCCGCGAAAACCAGACCCCCGGCCCACGGACCGGCTGACGTTGACCCCCGTCGGAGGGGGACCCTCCAACGCTCAGCACCGAACGCAGAGCATCGATCCTTCCGTGGCATTTTTGCTTCCAGGCCGCCCCCGACTGGCTGGAGCCGCTTGGGTTTCGACCAGCGCCTCCCGCCTTTCTCCCAGAATCCAAACCAAGAGACTGTTTTTTTTTAGGGTCCGGCGATAACCCTGGTTATCGGGCTTGCCCCCCCTCCCCCCCCCCCACTTTCCTCAGGATAACCTAACCTCGCCGGTTGTGCGGGTCCGGGGTGGGGGGTCACGGGCACATGCAGGGCTGCCCGCAGCGCGAAGGTTAGGTCATCGACCGGCCCCCTCCCCCCCCCTCTTGGATAACCCGGGTTATCGCCGCCGACTCAAAAAAAGAGACGGTCTCCAACCAGGACGCGCCCGAGCCATGTGCGAGATCACACAGGCCCACGGGGCGCTCCAGGGGGGGGCCACTACGGCTCCAGATGCCCCGAAGACGGCCCTGGCATGGCACAAGAAGGCCCCAGGACGGCCCCAAAAAAGCTACCAAGGTGGCCCAACAGGGTCCTCAGAGAGCTCTAAGAGGGGGAACACGAGGCGATCTCTCAAACAATCCGCCCCAAGATGACCCCCGAGACCGGCAACAGGGCTCAAAACGGACACCACGAGGCCCCGAGAGGCCCGCAAGAGGCCCCCAGGAGGCCCACAACAGGCTCTAGACGTTTGAGCTAATCTGAGGGATCACGTCTGCTCCGGCGCTGGCTCGTATAATCAATTGTTTCAGTTCCAACCTGGATGCTCACCCAGGATCTCTTCGAATACTTCTGACACCGTACGCCACCCCTTCTCCACAACTGCACGTTCCAGACAAGGAGCAGAATAATCAGCAGACCAAGGAGGATAATGTTGACGCTGAGAAGGATGATGAGGATGATTCGAAGGAAGACGCCCACCCAGGTCTCGCCCAGGTCGTCGTCCCAGGCTGTGCCGACACGTTTGAGTTCTTCTAGGGGGTCACGGCTGCCCCAACCCCGGCTCCCAGGACAAAAGTCAAGACGGCCCAAGAGGGCCCCGAGACGGCTACAGAGGCCCCGAAGGGAGCCCAGGAGGCACCACTCAGAGGAGAGGGATTAGTAGGAGAACTGGGGCCAGGACGATAACTAGTATGGGAATACGGAGAGGGGCAATATGTGTTAATGAGGGTGGTGACGACGAGGATTGTGGCGACGGTGACGACGACGATGTGCGAATGGCTATGGTGACTATGATTTCGGTAATGGTGATCATGATGTCGGTGATGATGATTGTGACGATGGCAATGGTAAGTGTGTGTATGATTATGAGGGTGGTGCAAACGATAATGCTGGTGATGTTCGCAACGGCTGTGTGGACGATTATCATGATTATGCTGATGCTGATCCTGATGATGATGATGCTGATGATACTAATGATGATAATGATGGTTTTGATGGTTATGGTGATAGTGACGGTGATACTGATACTGATGATGGTGTTGGTGATGACGGCGATGATGATGCTGATGGTGATAGTGATGCTGCTGCTGCTGCTGATGCTGACGACGCTGACGATGTAGACGATGATGACTAGGATGATGGTGATGATGGTATTTGTTTGGTTATGATAATGGCGATTATGTTGATGCTGATGATGGTACATGGGTGTGGCGATGGTGATGCTGCTGCTAATAATGAGGGTGAGGGTGATGATAATGATGACGATGATGATGCTGCTGATGATGATGCTGATTATTATGATGGCGTTTATTATGATTCTCAGGATGACGATGACGATGATGACGATGCTGATTATGATCACTATCATCATGATGATGATGATGATGATGATGATGATGATGATGCCGCTGCTGCTGCTCATGATGATGCTGCTGCTGATGATGATGACGATGATGATGCTGATGATGCTGATGATGGTGGTGGTGGTGATGCTGCTGATGATGATGCTGATGATGCTGATGATGCTGATGATGTGGATGCTGATGCTGATGCTGATGATGCTGATGATGCTGATGATGATGATGATGCTGATGATGATGATGATGTTGAGTATGATTATGATGATGCTGCTGATGATGATTCTGATGCTGATGCTGCTGCTGCCGCTGATGATGATGAGGATGCTGCTGATGATGATGATGCTGATGATGGGGATGATGTTGCTGTTGATGATGATTATGATGAGGATGCTGCTGATGATGATCATGCTGATGCTGCTGATGATGATGCTGCTGATGATAATGATGATGACGCTGCTGATGCTTCTGCTGCTGCTGTGCTGCTGCTGTTGCTGCTGCTGATGATGATGATGCTGCTGATGATGATGCTGCTGCTGCTGCTGATGCTGCTGCTGCTGCTGATGATGATGATGATGATGATGATGATGATGATGATGATGATGATGATTCTTACGATGATGATCACGTGAACGCCGCTGCTTGGCAGGAGGAGATCGACGAGATGGAAGAGGAGAAGGACAAGGACGAGGCGCTCGTGAACGCCCAGGGCGACGTGCAGACTGCCAACGAGAGGCCCGAAATCCCGCCGCCAGGGCCCCGCCGTCCTCGCCCTGCCCCCAGCATCGGTGATTGTGTGTGTGTGTGTGTGTGTGTGTGTGTGTGTGTGTGGGTGGCCCCCCGCTGGGTACGCGGCCGACCACAGGGCCGACATCGAGAAACCACGTCGATTCCGAGGCGACTGGCGACACTTCGGCTGCTCCTCCTCCTCCTCCGCTTCCTCCGCCTCCTCCTCCTCCTCCTCCTCCGCCTCCTCCTCCTGCTCTCATCGACCTGGCCAGAGCTCGAGGGCCCCGGGAGGGACATGCCCTGGCCTCCGCGTTTCGTCACACGTCCAGGCACGCCCTCCACGCCCCTCCTGGGGCCCGCGCGCGGGCCCGTTTGGGAAGGACGCGCGCAGGCGGGCCCGCATCACCAGCCCAGCCGACGGCGAGTCGGGGCGGGGCAGGGACGGGAGGGAACTGCTGACTCGAAGGCCCTGCAACGAGTGGCACGCGGGACGGGTGGCCATCTTCGGCGGCGAGCGACGGGGGGATGTGAGAAGGAGAGGGCGGCGAGGCTTCTCCGAAGCCCTCCGGCCCCTCTGAGAGGTTCTCCGTGTCGCCCAGGGAGGCTCAGGACTTCTCCCGGAAGGCTGGAGGATTTCCCAGCCTTCCGAGAAGGCCGCCCCCCTCTCGCTTCCCCCCTGGGCTGCCCGCCGCTCCACGTCGCAGAACAGACACACGGCGGGCAGGTCTTGCGCACTTTCGGCTTCTGGAGCCCTCACCGGGCCCCCGGGACCGTCCAGCAGCAACCAGAGGTGAGAAAACAGTCCCAGGAAGGGGTCAATTGGCTACACGCAGAGCGGGATGGGGGGAGGATGGAAGGCCTCTTAGAGGCACCCCTGCATCTTAGAAGGTCCAGGCCTTGTCTGTAGATGGAGGGACGGCGCCTTCTTAGAAGCAGCCTCCTTCTCAGAAGCCGCCCCCCTCCCCCTACCCGCTTGTGCGCGCCGCCAAGTCCAGATCTTTAGGGAGCCACGTTCTGAAACAAGAACGCGGCGTCGGATGTCTGGGTGGGTCAGGGTCCCGGCGTACATCTCGATCTGGTCGATCCGATTCGCTGGCGTTTTCGCCCAGCCCCACCAGGATCTATTTGCATCCGTATGCGAATTGATTGTCGTTTGTTGTATATGGCCCCGTCAACACTACCGTCTTTAAAACCTCTGCGCAAACAAAGTCGGGGGTTCATTTTGCCGCTGGGGAACTGTTGGAACCGTGTTGGGGTCGATTGCTCCCGCGCTGCAGAATTCATGTAAGCGTCTTGGCTTCGCCGCGATGCGAGCTGTCCAGAGTCCACCGCGAGTTGCTTCGACATGGCCTCACTGCACAGCACACTCGAAGCCCTTACGATTTTTCAAGTAAAGCTGCTAACAGATGTCGCACATGTTGGCGCTTCTGAGCGTGATGGCATAAGGCCGCGGCGCGTGCGCATGTCATTTTTTGGTCTTTGTTCTTTGCTTATCCGCCCTTTTCCTCTATGCGCATTTGCGTGTTGCTGCGTATGAGGGCAGTTGCGCCCACCTCGTCTGGATGTGGGCCTGTCTGCGTGTGACGGCGTGTTCTTGAGGAGAAGGACGGGTGTATGCACTCCAACTGTCATGGCATTGCGAGTATGTGCGTGCGTTGTCGCATACGCGTGCGTGTTGACATGCGGCTAGGTTGGCTGTGTGCGCGTCTGCTCGCACATGTGTTCGCTCGCTCGCGTGCTTGTCGGGGTCGTTGCGTGTTGGTGTGTGTGTGTGTGTTTGTTATGTGATCCCGCTCCTCGTCCTCCTTCCGCTTCCCTGGTTACCACTGTGCGTTTCTGGGAGTACTGGCTTGCCACGCGCTTCTCAAGGAAGCGAATTGAGTTGCCGTCGTCCTCACTTTTAGATCTCCGCCAACTGGACTCTTTGGCGTGTCGGAAGGATAATTGCGTGTTCGTAATTGTGTGCGTATGTGTTTGTCTGTCTGTGTGTGTGTGTGTTTGTGTGTTTGGCTACCCTGTCTCCGCGCGGCGCGTACTGAGCCAGTTGCCGTTGTGCATTTGCCACCGTGAGGATGCTGGCCAAGAACAGGGAGTTCAAGGCGAGGACCGTGAGCTCGCAGCTCCGCGTGCTCGAGGGTGCTCTGGAGGAGCTCGACAAGGCCGAGGCTTGGGCGGGGCCTTGACAAAATAATTCAGATCAAGTCTCGGTTGCAACACCTGAGAGGCCAAATGCTGCAAGCCGTATTTGACTCCCGTTTGTCCGCTGTAATCTGGCTTAATCTGGCGTGTTGCAGGGTTTTGGTGTCGTGCAGTTCCTTACCCTCTTAATCGGGCTAAGTAGCCCTTGCCGTTCAAACGAGTTTCCAAGGACTTGCCTCCTAATCACGGAGCTGGGATGGGAGGAAACGCGCGGTGGGGAGTAGGAGAGTTGAAGGGTAGGGAAGACTTTATCCTCACCCCTTCCCTCCATCCCCAGAGCTAGCGGAGTGCTAAGATCGACTAGGTTTGTATTGAATTGGATAGATATGCCCCGCTCGAGCATTCCTCGATGGCATGGCGACGGCCGTGGCGTGGATATAGAAGTGCTCAAAGTCGTCGTGCGATCTAGTCTTCGCCACTGGTCAATAGAACCATAGCGCCAGCCCACAGCTTAGTGCACAGTGCCCGTGCACTACAATGCGCTAATATCACCCTGGCGTGGAAACATATCATTACAGTATCCAGGCCATGCAGTCTGTGGAGCGATTCCAGAGTGCATGAGTGTTGTCACGTGCAACATGCTTCCATTCTGGTACGCGCAACTGTGTTCGAATTCAGACTTGGTCACCGTAGGGCACGTGCAATTTCGGTCGGAGTGCGTAGCAGAAGGCAGCGCGGCCATTTCATTGTAGTGCAACCGGTAGCCTCTGATTGTTCGAGGAACGTTCAGAGGATGCAAACTTATCCGCGCGAAGGGCCCAGCCACATGCGGGTGCAAGGCAAATGGGACGAAGAAGGGGCAGGTCCATATGGGGCCACAGATCGTGTGAGGGGTGTGCCGACATTTGTGCTCGGCCGCCATGCGGACTTCCGCTGGGGCCTTCGGTGGAGGTCCCTGTGGGGCCACGGAATGTGTGAGAGGTGTGCCGAGATGGGACCTGCCGCTGGGACATTCGGTGGAGATCCCTATGGGGCCACGAAACGGGTGAGGATATGCAGAATCGGGTGCGGGTACGCCTTCGGACCTGCCACCGGGGCCTTCGGTGGAGGACCACGAAACGTGTGAGGGGTGTGCCGAAATAGGTGCGGGTACGCCATGCGGACCGTCCCACTGGGGCCTTCGATGGAGCTCCCTATTGGGCCACGAAGCGTGGTGTTTGCGTGTGTGTGTGTGTGTGTGTGTGTGTGTGTGTGTGTGTGTGTGTGTGTGTGTGTGTGTGTCTGTGTGTGTGAGTGTGTGCCGAATCGTGTGCGGGTACGCCATGCCGACGCTGCCGCTGGGGCCTTCGGTGGAGCTCCCTATAGGGCCACGAAACGTGTGAGCGGTGTGCCGAATTGGGTGTGGGTGCGCCATGCGGACGTTGCCACTGGGCCTTCAATGGAGCTCCCCATTGGGCTACGAAGCGTGTGAGGTGTGTGCCGAATCGTGTGCGGGTCCGCCATGCGGATGCTGCCGCTGGGGCCTTCGATGGAGGTCTCCCCGGGGCCACGGATCGTGTGAGTGGTGTGCCGAATCGGGTGCTGGTTCCATGCAGATTGGTAGGAGGAGGAGGAGGAGGAGGAGGAGGAGGAGGAGGAGGAGGAGGAGGAGATAAAGAGGAGGAATAGGAGGGGGTATTCGGTGGGGAGGGGGGAACTTCACATCACGCGACGAAATCCCTCTGCCTACAACATATCGTGGCATCCTTGACCACTGGGGGGATGCCTCCTGCCGCTGCCCGTTGTCCCCGTCCCCCCTTTCCCTCCCCCTCCCCCCTCCTCCTCCTCTTCCTCCTCCTCCTCCTCCTCCTCCTCCTCCTCCTCCTCCTCCTCCTCCTCCTGCTCGCCGTCCTCCTCGCCAGGCCGAGGTGCAGAGCGACGGCACGGCCCCCGGGCCGAAGCGCAAGTACAAGCAGGCGGGCCCCCGTGCGCTCCTCCGCGCCCCCGCTGGCCCCCGCCCCGCCCCGCGGTGCGCCCCCCCGCCCCGCGGGGCCCTGCTGGAGGCCTAGAATCGGGTATAGCCAGGACCCCGGGTACGGGGACCCGGCTAGTGGTAGGGCCCTGGGGCCCCTCACTTGGCCAGATTCACTCAACCAGGTTTGCCATAACTGGTGTTTTTCGGGTGACGGCAGTTCTGGTTGGTGGAAATGGGACGGGGGGGCGCCCCCGGTACAAATCACTAAACCAGGTTCCACTAAACCCTGTTCTGCCAACGCCCGATAGAAATGGGCATGAGCACCAGCACAGGGGGGTTGCCTCCACATGGGGAAGATGATCCTAGATTTCGGTGCTGGTGGCAGTGTTCCGGTCACTGGAGGCCAGAATACTACCACCATCGCCGAGATCGGGATCCTCTTCCCTCGGTAGATGCACACCGCCGATATTGGTGTTGGTGTCAATCTCCCGCAAAGGCGCCCTGCCGCCTCGCCCGCCCCGTGCCTCCCCGGCGCCCCATTCGAGCTCCCTCGCCTCCTGTTCGCCGGTTACAGCGGAGGCCCATGCCAAGAAGCTCGGAGGCGACGATAGGGGCGACTAGCCCAGGGGAGAGCAATACATTTGTGGAAGTCGATTAATGGAGAGGAGGCATGCTGCCAAACAAGTTCCAGATGTCTAAAAGATGTTTCAAACATGTTTTTAAATATGTTTTAAAAACGTGGTTGAAACATTTTTAGAACATGTTTTACACATTGCATACACATCTTTAATTCAATGATGGGATTGTTAGAGTGTCCATTGTCATGGCATCCACAATAATAGCCCAGGGGAGAGCAATACATGTATTCAGGTGCGCCGATGATTTATGTCTGCGAAAAGGCTCCCGGGCGAGTACGTGTAATGCCCGCCCCCGGGCTATTCGCCCTGATCGTCGCCGCCGAGTAGCACCCTGCTTGCCTCCAGGGCACCCCGGGTTTCCGGGGCTTCGATGGTTTTTGCGATGGAGAGCGTGACGTTCCCGCAGCAAGAAACCAATGGACGTCCCTGGGGTCTCAGGGATCGGGTTTCTTGTGGAATGTTTCTTGTGGTCGGGCCTCCACTGTACGCGTATCATCCCGGATTTGTCCGAGGGTGAAACACTTATTCGATGCAGGTGCGGGACGCTCCTGCTTGGGGCTTGCAATCGCTTCTCTTCCCTCTTCAGCTCCCCCCTGGAAAAGCACTTGCTTTTCCTGTTTGGCGTGGGGGGGGCTGTAAGGCGAGGCAGGTGACGCAGTTCACGTGCTCATCAGATGTGCCGCGTTCCGTGTTCTGACAAGTAGGTGGCCGCCTTTCTGCCAATCAGTTGAAGATGTTATGGGCGCTTCGGCCACAACTCGGCGAATTTGTCCTTATTCGGTTGCTCTGCCGCGCTGATTCTCTACCCCTTCCTCAGATGTAATTTGCAGGGTGGGATGTCTTTTGTGCAATCTGCGAGGGCCTGGGATGTCTTCAACAAGCCATGCAACGAAGTGTGCCTCCGACGTCGCAAACTATTCTTGAGCCCGCAGGGCGGCAGTCACGGCGGACCCTCAGTCGGAAGCTTGTTCGAACGAAGATTTTGCAATCGTTGGTGTTAGGGATACTTCCTCGACGAAGGTCGGCACTAATCGTTGCAATGCTTCTTGAGGCCATGTTGGCGTTCCGAGGGGGGTCGGACGGCCTCTTGGGCGTCCTAGGGAAGTATGAGACAGGAAATGCTTGATGGATGTGCAGAATTGTAGGCTTTCGTGGCCCAGCGAGTGCAAGTTACTCGTATTTTCATATGTCCCAGGCTAATGTCAAACAGGAAATGCGTGAGACGTGCGCCGAAACGAAACCCTCGTAGCTCTCGGTGCGCGGGTCACGTGTATTTTGACGTCCCCCAGGAGCTGTGCTGCAGCCCTCACTTGTACCTCACGTGCTCCAGGAGCCTGCAAGTGCAGATCATGCGAGTGGAGGTAAGTGAAGGCTGTGCCGAACCGAGGCTCTCCCAGGAGAGGAGTCGGGCAGTTCACTCGTATTGTTGCGTCTCCCAGGAGCCTCGCGGCGCAAACCTCTAGTATGTTCACGTTCCGCGGGAGCCTGAGAGCACGGTTCGCATGTTGTTCTACGTGTCGAAATAAGAAGGGAGGTGAGGAAGGCGTCTTTGAGACATATCGACATATTTTCGGGCCGACGGAATGCCCGAAGCCTCTCCTAGCATGTCTTACGCATGCCAATCTCATTATCCTTCATGTCATCATCATCATCTCCTCATCCTGTCTCGAAGCAGGAGGGAAAACACACACAGACACATGTAATCGTCGATCCCCCAGAAAATACGGAAAACTATAGGAAGTGGGGGGAAGACGAAAATCCAGAAAAGATGAGAAAATATGGGGAATCCTGGGATCACTGTGCATATTTGTCTGTGTGTCCCTGGGCCCTTTCCTCGAAGCTCGACGCGGCGAGGGCCCACAGGGGGGCCCGCCGAAGTCAATCGCTTCGCTCCTTCCGCCGGCCCATATTGCATCACCGTTGCTCTGTTGGCGTGGTCGTGGCGAGCGCGGAGGAGGGAGGGGGAGGGGGAGGGGGAGGGGGAGGGGGAGGAGGAGGAGGGGGAGGAGGAGGAGGAGGAGGAGGAGGAGGAGGAGGAGGAGGAGGAGGAGGAGGAGGAGGAGGAGGAGGAGGAGGAGGAGAGGAGGAGGAGGGAGGAGGAGGAGTTGGAGGAGGAGGAGGAGGAGGAGGAGGAGGAGGAGGAGGCGGAGCAGGATGATATAGGATGGGATAGGACACTTCGAGCCGCTAAGGCTGAGCATTCCAGCAATGAAGTCTAGAGGGCAGACCCTTCACCGCCCAGCGGCACAGCGTTCCCCACCAGCCAGCATGCCAGACAGACCAACCTACGAGAGAGAGATGCTGCCACCCCAGTGGCTCTCCTACAGCAGATCACCACCAAACCACCCCAACCCAACCCGAAGGCCTCAATTTGCCTTCCATTTCCAGTTGGGGGGGGTCGGGGAACATTGAAAAAACACGTATGGAACCCGTACCCCCCCCCAACCCGAAATGGGGGTCTTCGGGTTGGGTTGGGGTGGTTTGGTAGGTAGTCAGCAGAGATCAAGGGGGCTCGCCGGCGCGCGCCTCGCAGAACTGGGCGCTAAGCTGGCGCATGCGAGCACAACGCCTGCACTCAGAGTGCTCGGGTGGCACATCAGGAGGCCAGCCGGCGCGACGGCTGCCGTTGTCGCTGTCCATGTTCGCCCCCTTGTCTCCGTCGTTGCCCTTGCACGGAACCCGGACAAGGACGTTCACGAGCTCCCGCGGCAGGAGCCCGTGCAAGACCAGCACGAGCATCGTTACCGCGAACGTGTTCAGGTGAGGCCTGAGCTCGGGGTGGAGGTACATGGTCCGCACCGGCCTTGCTGGTGCCGTCGGCGTGACCATGCCTGTGAGGATGCTGGTGGTGCAGCCCGTCGCCATCACGAACCTCTCTACGAGGACCTTTGCGACCAGGCCCAGCACCAACGGCATGCTCATGAGCAGGGATTCTGTCGGGAGCAGGGCCGGGCATCTGAACCCCGAGCGCATCGAGACGAGCGCCCACACCAGGGACGGGCGAAGCTGGCGCGAGCACGGGCGCGTGCGTGGTCATCGTCTTGGGCGGCTGGCCAAATTGGATGTCGGCCAAGTCCACGTCAAATAATTGCACAGTGGGAGGAGGAGGAGGAGGAGGAGGAGGAGGAGGAGGAGCAGGAGGAGGAGGCGGAGGAGGAGGAGGAGGAGGAGGAGGAGGAGGAGGAGGAGGGAGAAGGAGGAGGAGGAGGAGGAGGAGGAGGAGGAGGAGGAGAAGGGAGAAGGAGGAGGAGGAGGAGGAGGAAGAGGAGGAGGAGGAGGCCTCTCCATAGCTTCTTGGGGCAATATTGGGGCCAAAGTGGGTCGTGGACGCCGGGGGGCGTCTTGGGGTTTCTTGGAAGGCCTCTTGAGGCCTCTTGGTGGCATTTCGGAACCTCCTGGGGCCTCTAGGGGGCCTCTTGGGGGAGTACTTTGGGCCTATGGGGGCCTCTTGGGGGCCTGCTGGCGGATTCGGGGGCAATCTTTTGGGAAGGGGCTCGGCATGTCACCTCGGATTCCCCCTCTTGCTGCTCTCTTGGGGGCCTCTGGTTGGGGGGCCTCTTGGACCAACTTGGGGCCCTCTTGGGAAGTCCTGGGGCCCACTTGTGCTGTCTTGGGGTGTCCTTGTGGGCCTCTTGGGCCGCTTCGGGTAGCTGGAAACCCGTAGAGGCGGTGACGCCCAAATCCTTCAAATACCTAAGGACGCTCGATTTTTCCCGGCTCTCTGGACCGTGGTGGGGGTCCACGGGGAGCGCTTTTCGGGCGTTTTGGAGGCCTCTTGGACTGTGCGGAGATCGTCCTGGGCATCTTGGAGCGCTTTTGCACTGCCTCGGAACCCTCTGGGCTCTCCTGCGGGCTTCGATGACTACTCCTGGAGCGCCCCTGGGAGCCCCGGGGGCGACGCCCAGACGAAAAAAGAAGACATCCCTGGGCCAGGTGCGGCCGGCCCGCGCCCGGAACTCTTTTCGCCCGCGGACCCCCAGGGGCCGCCCCGCGCGCGCGAACTGGAACAGCTGTTAACCTGTTGCCAGAGATCTTAGCTCTTCGAACGCCTCTGGCCCTTGGGGCCGGCGAATTGCGGAATCTGGCTGGAAGTTGGTTCGGACGACCCTGAGCAACGGATACCCAGGAGTTGTGGTATCGCCCCTATTCTCCACCCTCCTAATGGCCCGTGAGGCCGGGTTATAATGCATGTTAGCTGTCTGGCAGGGTTTCGATATCTGTTCACCTCTGAGAACAGCTTGCTTTCTCTCCGCAGCACCACGCGTCTCAGCTCACTCCTCCTCGCCCTCCTCTTCACCCTCCTCCCTCATGACTCCAGTTCGGCAAGCCCCTCACATGGATCGTGCTCCACGGGGATTTCCACCTTTGGCCCCAGTGGAAGGGTTCACATGCGCCCCCTAGCCTATTTCGGCAAACCCTTCACACGGAGCGTGCCCCACGGGGAGCTCCACCTTTGGCTCCAGAGGCAAGGTAGGGTTCCCCTGCGCCTCCCAGTCAACTTCTGCAAGCCCCTCACACAGATCGTGCCATACGGGGAGCCCCACCTTTGGCCCCGGAGGCAGGGTTCACATGCGCCCCCCGCCCATTTCGGCACACCCCTCACACGGATCGTGCCTCACGGGGAGCTCCACCTTTAGCTCCAGCTCCAGAGGCAGGGTTCACATGCGCCCCCCGCCTATTTCGGCACACCCATCACATGGATCGTGCCTCACAGGGAGCCCCACCTTTGGCCCCAGAGGCACGGTTCACATGTGCCCCCCGCCCATTTCGGCACACCCATCACATGGATCATGCCTCACAGGGAGCCCCACCTTTGGCCCCAGAGGCAGTGTTCACATGCGGCACCCGCCCATTTCGGCACACCCCTCACATGGATCGTGCCTCAGGGGGAGCTTCACCTTTCGGTTCGGCAGGGTTCACATGTGCCCCCCGCCCATTTCGGCACACCCATCACACGGATCGTGCCTCACAGGGAGCTCCACCTTTGGCCCAAGTGGGAGGGTTCACGGTTCACATGGGCCCCCCGCCCATTTCGGCACACCCCTCACACGGATCGGTAGCTCTCGCCTTAGTCCCAGCTCTTTTTTTTCAGGGGAACCACAGTGGGTACTCTCAGTCGTCTCCAGTGGCTCCCGCCTTGCTTTTGGGAGACATCGCTTTGTCTTGCTTGTCCTTGATGGATCTGGCCTCAACACTGGCTTACTTATGAGGGCTATCTGTTGGGTGGTCTAAATGTCCTCTGGTGGCCCTTTCTGCAGCAAAGCGGTGTCAATGCCGCACCTAGTTATATCTCACGACTCCCACCTGACGTGCCTCCTCTCTCCTTCCCGCTCCGCCCCTCCAGCGCTCGCTGCCGGCTGTGATCCAGGCGGAGGGCTCTTGCAGCCAGTCAGCGATCAGACGTTGCATCCGAGCAGTGACGATATGAATCGCGCGTGGGCCCTGATGAGCTGAAGAGGGCTAACGGGGCAGCTGCGGCTGGGACCCGGTGGGCGGCAGCACCGAGCTTTTGGGAGACCCGCGCGGGTTTTTTTTGGTGGCCGGCGCTGGAGCCCCCCTCCCTGGCGGCGCAGGCCCTTAAGAAGTCCGCGCGGACCTCCGGCAGTGTACGCTGGTGCAGCCTCGCCCTCGCCCGCGCCTCCTCCTCCGCCCCTCGCCCGTGGCCGCCGTTGCCCCGACTGGCCCTCCTCCGAGAAGGGGACTTCCGCGCGCCGTCGCAGCTGCACCGTGCACAGGAGCGGGCCGAGCGGCAGGGCTGCTGCTCGTCGTCCTACAGTAAAGGGGGGGGGGGGCCCGCGGTCGTTGTTCTGCTGCTCCTCGCCGGAACCACGTGCTGCCAGCCTCCAGTCGTCCACCTCCGCCGATGACCCCGCTGAGAGATCGCAGGCTCAGAGGTTGACGCCAGCACCAGTATCGGCGGCGTGCCTCCACCGAAGAGAGGAGATCCCGATCTCGGTGATGGTGGTCATACTCTGGCTTCCACGGTGACCGAAGTAGTACCACCGACACCGAAATCTAGGCTCATCTTTCTCCTGTGGAGGCAGCCCCCTGTGTTGGTGTTGGTGCCCATCTCCGGGCCTCCAACTTCTGCTCCCCCCCACGCCCAGCGCGTGCCACCCGGCAGGCCTCCCCAGGCCTCCGACGGCGCTTCTTGCCCGTGGCGTGGGCCCCACGGGGCTCTCGGCCGCCCCCAGAGAAGCGCCGCCGAGGGCGCGGAGGTCTTCGCGCTCCGCGGTTCGGTTCCCACTCCTTCCCGTCCTCCTCCTCTCATCGCGCCAGCATCGCAGAGCGGACTTCGTTCGGAAGACGGTAGGATGGGCCCGGAGTGTCCTGGGTAATGTCGTTCCGGAGTTCGAGGTGGATTTCGTGCGATTTTTGAGCCAGGAATGAAGACCACGCGAAGTCCATTTGTTCCAGGCAGAAATCTACGCAGAAATCAGTGCGGAAATCCACGCAGAAATCCGCTGCAGCAAGTCTGCCCGGTGCAACGACTCTTCTCCCCTGGGGGGCGGCGCTCTCCGCGCTCCGCGCAGCGCGGAGCGCCAGGTGAAGTGAGCGGGGCCTCCCTCGGGCAGGCATTTCATCCCGGACATTGTCAGACCGAGTGTGAAGGAGGCGCGGGGACTGCGCTCCAAGTCCTGGGAGGCACAGGCAGCGGCATAAAAAACACAGGCTGTCGGAGCTCCGCGCGGCTGCCTCGGAGATCTGCGCTGGCCCCTTCCCGTCCCCGGCGCGCGCAGAGCGCGCCCAGAGGCGGCGCCGGAGGCGGCGCTCCAAGAACTCCGCGCGGCGTCTGAGCATGTGGAGTATGCCGTTACGCGTGATCGTTTTCTTCGGTCGGCGCGGGGCCTCGCGCCCCCCCCCTTCCCTCCTCCATGGGGTAGATTTTGACTGTTTCTGGCACCTGTTTCAAGCAGGTTACGGAACGTGAAAACGACCACAGCCATTGCTTTTCTTTTGTTGCCGCCTTCAGCCAGCAGAAACAAAGCAGTGGCCGTGGTCATTTTCGTTAAGCTTGGCACCAGGGAAATGACCACAACCACTGCTTCTTTTTCGGCCGGCTGGAAAGCGGCAACAAACAAGAAGCAGTGGCTGTGGTCATTTTCCCGTCCCGCACAGGTGGACTCTCCCCCAAAGGGCGCACTGTTGCAAACAAGCGCGTTAGGCAAAGGTCCAGAGCCAGGCACCCCGCTCCCCCCCCCCTTTCCCCCCCCCGCCCCCTCCGCCCAATGTCGAGACCCCGATGAAGAAAACGCCACTTTTTTCTTCTTCCAATCTCACCACCCACCAAGCCGCCCCAACCCAACCCGAAGGCCCCAGTTTGCCTTCAATTCCCAGTGTGGGGGGGAAAGGTCGGGGAACACAGAGAAAAGACGTGCGAAGCCTGTATCCCCCTCCCCACACCCCGTAATTCGGGCCTTCGGGTTGGGTTGGGGTGGCTTGGCAGGTAGTCGCAGCCCACCCGCCGGAGGTCCGGGACTGGGCAGGCTATGGGCACGGCCCCGCCCAGGCCTTGGCCTCCCCCGCTCCCCCGCCCGGAGCGCAGGGGTCCACAGATCGATCCGATTGATCTGCTGCGACCTCGACTCGGTGCCGATGCTCAGGAGGGAAAGAAGCACACAGACACAATGAATCGTCGATTCCCCAGAACATATAGGAAAATATGTGCCAAGTGGGGGGGAAGACATAAACCCAGAAAATATGGGAAAATATGGAACATCTTTTTGTTTGTGTGCATTTATTTGTGTGTCCCAGGGCCCCTTCAGATGCAGCCTTCGCGCGTTCCGCTCCGATCCGATTTCCCGATCCGATGTGCCGCCGGATCCTGCCCCTCCCTGCAGGCCCTGCGGAAGGCGGAGGCCGCGTCCAAGATGCTCACCAAGCTCCTGGAGCGGAAGGCCGCGGGGGAGGGAGGGCGCGCGGCAGAGGGCCGAGGGGGTCTCTCCGCCCCGCGCGCGGCCGCTGGGGGCCTGGGCTCCACCTCGGGAGCCCAGGACCCTCCGTCCGCCAGGTCGATGAGGAAGCACGAGCGGCTATCCCATCTCGCAGCGCTGGGCCAGCATCTGCTCCAACGAGCCGACCGCGGCGCGCAGCTCGGCCAGGCCGAGCTGCGGGATCCGCTCGGTTGGCAGGCCCAGGCGTTCAGCCAGGCCAGCTGCGCGCCAGCGGAGCTCCACCGACTCGGAGCTCGCGCCCTCGGTCTAGTCCGTGCCTGCGCCGCGCTTGGCCCTGCTCTTGCCCACGCCCTTGCCCAGGCCCGCGTCGCCCGCGGGGCGGCCGCGCCTCCGCACCAGCGGCAGCTCGCCCGCCCACTCGTCGGACTCCATCGGCTCGGCGAGGGCGAGGCCACCGCTCCGCCCACCGCCGCCTCGGCCGCCCCACCATGCGGGGCCTTCTCCTCCACGACTCCCTGCACCTCGTCCTGCGCGTCCACCTTCCGGCCGCCGTGGGCGCGAGGGCCACGCCGCGCCGTCGTTGCGGGGGGACCCGGACCCTCCGCCCACAGGCGGGGGAGGCCGGGCGGTGTGCCGAGGTCGGCGATCACCGCGAGGAGGCGCCCCCTCCGCCGCCCGCAGGGGGCGCGCTGGCGCGCGCCGCCCTCCATGGGGCGGCCGAGCCCGCTGCCGCGCGCACTGCCGTCGGGGCCCCGCGCGAGGCCTCCGAGTGGCGCCGCGGCTCAGTTGAGGTCCCTCGTGCCCCGGCCTCGGAGCGGCGGCGGCGGGCCAGCGAGCGCACTGCCCGAGCCGAGATCGGGCCGGACGAGAGGGGGGGCAGGGAAAGGGGGGGTTACGAAGCCTGCCGCGTGCAGCTGGCTTCGGCCCCGCCGCCGGGCCCATTCCTCGATACGTGGCCGCCTCCGGCGCCGGGAGGCGCCGGGAAAGTCAGCCACGTGAGCTGATTCTCAACCCCCTCCCCTTTGCTATCCCCCCCCCCTTTCGCCCGGCCCGACGAGACAGCACTGGCCGCGGTGGGCGGGGCGAGGCGGTGGAGGCGGGGCGGCGGGGTCAGAGGGCGCCAGGCGTGAGAGTGCACCGACCCTCGGGTGCATGCGCTCACCGCGCGCGTGCCGCTGCTCGCAGAGTGCCTGCTCGCAAAAGTCTGCATCAGGTCGCGTCTTCCTCTATGTGTAATGGGCTGTAAATCCCTCGAGGCGGATCCAGGCCATGTGAGAGTAGTTCTTTTGCGAGTGGACCCCCTTGAGGGAACACTGGGGAGAGGAAGAGAAAGGAGTAGGAGAGGGAGGAAAAGGAGGAAGAGGAGGAGGAGGAGGAGGAGGAGGAGGAGGAGCAGGAGGAGGAGGGGGGGGAAGAAGAGGAGGCCTGTAGAGGCCCTCGCGGCTCCTCCTGGGGGCTTTGGGAGCCTCTTGGGGGCTCTAAGGGGGCCTCTGGGGGCATCCTGGGGCCTCTAGGGGGTCTGGGGGCTTCTCGGGGGCCTCTACTCGGGGGCGGCAAAGAGGGGGGTGATGACTGGGGGGGGTGGATATCATGGCGTGGGCCATGATATTTCCCCAGATCTCATGGCCCCTCTTCTTATTTCATTACGTCCCTGGTCCCCCCGCTGGGCCGCGCACATGCCGCCGGTCATGATTTGCACCCCCCCCTCTTGGACACCCCCCTCTTGGCCGCTCCCGATCTACGGAACGTCTGTGGGACCTCGTGACCTTCGGAGGCCGTCTTGGGGCCCTCTCAGGGCAGTCGTGGGTCCCTCCTTGGGCGTTTTAGGGCCGTGTTGGAGGTCTCTGGGGGCCGTCTTGGGGCGTCTTGCGGGCTCTTGGGTCGTTTTGGAGAACGCTGATGTCATTGAACGACCTCAGGACCATCCAGGATTTTGGCCTCCTGGAGGTCCTCTTGGAGCCCTCTTGGGTCTCCTGGGCCGTCTGGAGGACATCTTGGGCCGTCTTGGGGCCATCTTTGCCGTCTTTGGGCGTCTTGGAGGCCACCTTGGGCCATCTTGACCGTCTGAGAGACACCTTGGAGGCCATCTTGGAGGCCATCTTGGCCGTCTTGCAGATGGTTTGGGCAACGGGGTACGTATTCTGGGCGGCGTTGTGGGTCCTTGCGGGTGGCCGGCGCGATCGGCCGAAGGCCCCAGTGGGAGCCCTCAGAGACAACCAACGACTGCCGAACACTCAGCAAGCCGTGCGCCCCTGTGGTGTGGACCTTCTCAAAAAGGGCCCTGGGCCGTTTTGCACCCTGGGCTCCGCACAGGGCAAACACGCTAAACCCACGCGGCGGTAAACGGTAACAAACACAATAAAAAAGGCTTCCAGCATCTCCGAGCTAAAAACGGCAACGCGCCTTGGGCATACTGCAGGAGAACCAAGCCCTGTGGCAAGTCAACAGGGGGCGGCGGATCCACCGGCCTTTGATCCAACTCGCCACTGTGCCTGGACCGTGGACGAGGCGCCTTTCGGATGCCTCTTGCGGTCTCCGAGGAGGTCCGTGGATGCCTCTCGTGGGCCTCCTTGGGGGCCCCCTCGGGATCTTCAGGCCTCCTGGGGGCCCGACACGGATTTCTCATGCCTGGGCCAGCGTGCCTCTTGCTCCTGTTGGTGCCGCTCCTCCCCGTCCCTCCTCCGGCTGCAGCACCGCTCAACGATGTGCTGTCAACCAAGCCTGCAGGGTGGTCCCTCTCCATGTGTCTGTGCACTTCAGCTTTGGCTTCGGCTTCAGCTGCCGATGCGCCGTGAAGCGCCTTCGGGCCAGCTCACCCGAGTCAGACTTTCCGCTCGCGCGGGTGCTCCTTCCCCTCCTCTTCCTCCATCCCTTTTCTTTATGAGCTCGTCCCCTTCGCGCCTCCAGACGTGTCGCCAGTGAGGAGGGAAAGAAACACACAGAAACAATTAATTGTCGACTCCCAGGAAAATATGGGAAAATATGGAAAGTGGGGGGAAGACAAAAACACAGAAAATATGGGAAAATATGGGGCATCATTTGATTTGTGTGTATTTCTTTGTGTGTCCTTGTGCCCCTTGAGCCAGGGCGGACCAGTTCGGATCCTGACGCTTGAAAATTGTAGCGGCGTCACGGGTGGAGGGCAGGTCGCTCTCCATCCGTAGCTCTCGCTCTGGCGCCGCGCCTACTCGTCTGAAGCATGTGCAGCAGCTTCGCTGGTGGACAGCGCATCGTTTGCAAACACGTTGATCTCGCCTTAGCTCAGGAGGGGGAAAAACACGCAGACACAATTAATCGTCGATCCCGAAGAAAATATGGGAAAATGTGGGAATTGGGCGGGAATACAAAAAACCCAGAACATATTGGAAAGTATGGGGAATCAGTTTATTTGTTTGTATTTATTGGTGTGTCTTTGGGCCCCTTGATTAGCGCCGCGCGCATTCAATTTACAAGTCTGCAGCAGTTTCACGGTCGGAGGGCGGTTCCGGTTCAAAATGAGGTTTTGGCTTTTAGCGCCGCGAGCATTCGTTCCGACATTTTGGAACAGTTTCGAGGGTGGATGGTGGGTGGTTTTCAACATGTGGTTTTCGCCTTAGTGCCGCGCGCATTCGTTCAAAAGTTTGCAACGGCTTCGCTGACCAAGGGCGGTTCCTTTTCAGAATGTGGCTCTCGGTTTATAGCGCCGCGCACACTCGTCTTAAGAATTTGGAGCGTTACTAGAGGTGAACGAGGGGGGCGTCTTCAACAAGTGGCTCTCGCCTTGGCGCCGTGCACACTCGTCTCACAGGCTTGCAGCAATTTCAAGGGTGGACGGACGTTGTTTTCATAATGGTACTGTCGCCGTAGCGCCGCGCGCATTCGTTTTCACAGTTCGCACTCGCTTCCATCACTGGCGGGGGGCGGCTCCTCGTCAAACTGTTGTTTTTCATTTCAGTGTCGCGAGCATTCGTCCCCAAACCCTGCAGCAGTTTCAAAGGTCCAGTACTGGTCGTGTTCAAGCTGGGGCTCTCGCCTCAGCGCCGGGCCCAATTGTTTTTGATACAACGTTGCAGCAGGATGGAAGACGTTTTTCTTTCCCTGAAACTGGAAATGTCGCCGGAGACACTGGACACCTCGTTGACCTGTATGAGTGTTCGTGCTCCTGATGGTGCGCCAGAAGGGTGCAAGGCAGTTCCTTTTCAAAGCAAGCCTTCGCCATCGTGCCAGGCCCAACTGTACGGGTATCTAGTGGCCTTGGACCCATCCCGCCACTTTGCCTGGGTTGTAGGTCTGAGGTCTCCTGGATGTCTGTGAGGATCTCTTGGGAGGCCGCTCGGAAGCCTCCTGGATTCGGTCTTGGGGTGTCTGAGGGGCCTCTGGTGGGTCTCTTGGGAGCCTCTTGGGGCCTGATTTGGGCTTCTTTGAGCCTCCTGGAGTTTGTGGGGGGCCCCCTGGGGCCTGTTGGCGGTCTCGGAGATCAGTTTGGGACGAAGGGCTCGACGTGTAGGTGCGTGTTCCCCCTCTGGGGCCTCTCTCGGGCCGTCTTCGTGGCCTCTTGGGCCGTCTTGGGAGGACCGCTTGGGCGCGTTCTTGGTGGCCTTTTGGGCCGTCTTGGGGCGATCTTGGGGGCCTCTTGGGCCGTCTTGGAGCGTCGAAAGCCCGAAAAGGCGAGAGCACGAACATCTTTCGAACACTTGGAGGAACTCATTGTTTTTCCCAACCATCCTGTGGTGTCGGGTCCTCGTTTTGAAGAAACAGCGCCCCGCGTCTCCTCCTCCTTCCTTCCTTCCTCCTCCCCCTCCTCCCTCCCATCCTCCTCTCCCTCCTCCCTCCTCCCGCTCCTTGCCTTTGCTCTCGGCACACCTCTCACACGTTTCGTAGCCCCATATGGAGCTCCACCGAAGGCTCCAGTGGGGGTGTTCGCATGCGGGTCCCCCACCCAGGGCAGCGTTTCGTGGCCCGATAGCACAGAAGGCCCCACTCGGAGGATCGCAAGCGGGTCCCCCATCGAGGGCAGCGCTTCGGGGCCCCATAGGGGGCTCCACCGAAGGCCCCACTGGGGGTGTTCGCATGCTGGCCCCTCACCCAGGGCAGCGTTTTGTGGCCCCATAGGGAGCCCCGCCGAAGGCACCCGTGGGGGTGTTCGCATGCGGGCCCCCCCACCCAGGGCAGCGTTTCGTGGCCCCATAGGGAGCTCCACCGAAGGCCTCACTGGCGGTGTTCGCAGGCGGGTCCCCCGCCCAGGGCAGCGTTTCGTGGCCACATAAGGGGGCTCCACCGAAGGCCCCATTGGGGGTGTTTGCATGCGGGTCCCCGACCCAGGACAGCGTTTCGTGGCCTTATAGGGAGCTCCACCGAAGGCTCCAATGGGGGTGTTCGCACGCGGGTCCCCCACCCAGGACAGCGTTTCGTGGCCCCAAAGGGAGCTCCACCGAAGGCCCCAATGGGGGTGTTCGCATGCGGTTCCTCCACCCAGGGCAGCGTTTCGTGACTTCATAAGGAGCTCCACCGAAGGCCCCAGTGGGGGTGTTCGCATGCGGTTCCTTCACCCAGGGCAGCGTTTCGTAGCCCAATGGGGAACCCCGCCGAAGGCCCAAGTGGGGGTGTTCGCATGCGGGCAGCGCTTCGTGGCCCCATAGGGAGCTCCGCCGATGGCCCCAGAGGGGGGGGGGGGGTCGCATGCGGTTCTTTTCACCCAGGGCAGCGTTTCGTGGCCCCATAGGGAGCTCCGCCGAAGGCACCACTGGCGGTGTTCGCATGCGGGTCCCCCACCCAGGGCAGCGTTTCGTGGCCCCATACGGGGCTCCACCGAAGGCCCCACTGGGGGTGTTCGCATGCGGGTCCCCCACCCAGGAAAACGTTTCGTGGCCCCATAGGGAGCTCCACCGAATGCCCCAGTGGGGGTGTTCGCATGCGGTTCCCCCCCTCCGCCCAGGACAGCGTTTCGTGGCCCCATAGGGGGCTCCACCGAAGGTTCCAAGTCTACCGTCCGCATGCGTCCCCCCGCACACACAGTACAGCGTTTCGTGGCCCTCCTCCCCCTCCTCCCTGCGTTTCACCCACCCAGTACAGCGTTTCGTGGCCCCATAGGGAGCTCCACCGAAGGTTCCAGGTCTACCGACCGCATGCGTCCCTCCCGCCCAGTACAGCGTTTCGTGGCCCTCCTCCCCCTTCGTCCCTGCGTTTCACCCACCCAGTACAGTTTCGTGGCCCCATAGGGAGCTCCACCAAAGGTTCCAGGTCTACCTTCCGCATGCGTCCCCCCCACCCAGTACAGCGTTTCGTGGCCCTCCTCCTCCCTGCGTTTCACCCACCCAGTACAGCGTTTCGTGGCCCCATAGGGGGCCCCACCGAAGGTTCCAGGTCTACCGTCCGCATGCGTCCCCGCCCACCTAGTACAGCGTTTCGTGGCCCTCCTCCCCCTCCTCCCTGCGTTTCACCCACCCAGTACAGCGTTTCGTGGCCCCATAGGGAGCTCCACCGAAGGTCCCACTGGCACCGCCCGCATGCGCCCGCCACCACCCAGCACAGCCCTTGCTCCTTGCGTTTCACCCACCCAATACAGCGCTTCGTGGCCCCATAGGGGGCTCCACCAAAGGTCCCAGTGGCATCGCCCGCATGCGTCAGCCACCACCCAGCTCAGCCCTTGCTCCCTGCGTTTCACCCACCCAGTACAGCGCTTCGTGGCCCCATAGGGAACACCGAAGACGATATTCATAATTGGGGTACTCAAAACTGCATATGGTTGGGTCCTTCGCCAGGCTAATTGTCATCTCGGGGCCCTCTTGGGGGGCCTCTTGTAGCCCCCATGGGGCGTCTTGGGTGCCTCGTGGGCCGTCGGTGGGCCATCTTGGGCGTCTTGGGGCGATCTGTGGGTGACTCGGGGGCAGCTTGTACTGTCTTGGGGTCTCTTCGGATCCTCTTGGTTCGTCATAGGGGCATTCGGGCCTTCGGAACAGTCATGCGTGGACGCCCGGGCGCGTGAGTGACCGCCAGGAAGATTTGGTGGGTTCCCCTTGCACTTAATTATATGATTCCAGGATCTGTTTTGCCCTTGCACCGCCAAACTATTGCAGTGTTTTCATCTGCGATTGCCATCGCTCCCTCTGCTATTGCAATTGCTTATTGTCGGGTAGAGTAGAGGAGTAGATGTGTAGAGTAGGCTTGGGCAGAGTAGAGTAGAGTTGAGTAGAGCAGAGGAGAGTTTAATACAGCAGCGTAGAGTAGGATTAGTTCAGAGTGGAGTAGAGCACAGTAGAGTCGAGTAGGAGTAGGAGGGAGAGTAGGAGTAGGAGCAGACTAGGTTAATGTAGGGTAGGGTGGGGTCGAGTAGAGCAGGGTATATTGTGGTAGGGCCGAGTCGGGTATGCTGTCGAGTAGAGTTGGGTATGTAGAATCGAGCCGGGTAGGTTAGGTTAGAGTAAAACAGAGTAGGGTAGGGTAGGATAGGGTATTGTAGAGCAGGGCAGAGTAGAACTGAGCAGAGCAGAGCATAGCATGATAGAGTAGGACCAATGTTAGAGTACAGTCGTGTAGGTTAGGGTAGATTAGAGTAGAGTAGAGGAAGTTTGTATGCAGAGAGGGGTAGAGCAGATGATAGTATCTGAGGGTATATTACTGTCGAGTAGGGGTAGAACAGAGTAGCGTAGAATAGGCTACTGTAGGGCAGGGCAGGGGAGGGGAGGGTAGAGCAGAGAAGGGCAGAGTGGAGAGCAGAGTAGAGTAGAGTAGGGCTGATTGTAGAGTAGAGTCGGGTATAATAGAGGAGGAGTTGAGTAGAGTGGAGTAGAGTCCACCCTGGCCAATGCCAGCCTACTCCAGTCCAGTTTACTCCAGTCCACTCCAGTTCGCTTCATGTCAGTCTTCTGATCTGTTTTGAGTCCGCTCTGGCCGATACTCCAAGGGTGGCGCATCCTGTAGTGAAAAGGGGACGCAGTCGGGTATGAGGAGTGCACTTGGGACGGAAGGTTGTGTTGCAGTGCCGTTTATGCATCTTTGGTTTACTCTGTTCCTCTTCCTCCTCCTCCTCCTCTTCCACCCCGTTTCCTGATTCATCATTCCTCCTTGTCGCGCAGTTAGGAACGTCGTATGGCGGGCTGGGCGTTTCGCTGGAGACTTCTGGGCCATTCACGATCCTGAAACTTGAAGTTTGGAACGGTTTCAAGGATGGAGGGTGGCTGGTTTTCAAATGTAGTTCTCGCCTGAGCGTCGCGCGCGTGCGTCTCAAACATTTACGGCAGTTTCAAGGATGGGAGGGCGGCCCCTTTTCTAAATGTGGCTGTCGCCTCAGCGCCGCGCACATTCGTTTTAGCAGTTAAAAACCGTTTCAGCGATCGAGGGACGCCCGGTTTATAAATGTGGTTGTCGCCTTAGCGACGCGCGCATTCGTCTTGCAACTTTGCAGCAGTTTCAAAGATTCGTATTGATGAAGTCCCAAGAGTTGTGCTCTGGCACGATTGATGAGCATCAGGTCGCAATACTCAGGCTTATTCGCGCTGTTAGAGTTCCAGGACTGGTGTTCTGACACGATTTAGCATTGTCAGAGCGCAGCATTCACGTTGATTCGCGGCTTTCAAGCTCCAGGAGATATCTTTTGGCATGTTTGATCATTCTCATACGATTGTCTTACGGTGAAACAGTTTCCGCAATGAAAGCGAGTCATTGTAGGGACCTGCGCAGGGGAATTTGGAGGGAGGGCTTATTGCAACACCGTTGAGGCGTCCTGGGTTTACACTAATCCTTCTCCTCCTCCTCGCCCTTCTCCTCTCCTGTCAAACATAGCGCCTCCCCTGAGTGCGTTCTGGCCAGAATTCCGAATCAAATCTGGCCGTGGCGATGAGAAGTCCCTTGCGGAGGCCCAGCAAGGACGACAAACCACAAAAAACCTTGAACAACAACCTTGACTCGAAGTTCGATCCTCACTGTTCGACCCTTCTCCTCGTTGCCGCCGCCGTCGCCGCTGCCGCCGCCGCCGCCGTCGCCGTCGGCGTCGGCGTCGGCGTCGGCGTCGTCGTCGTCGTCGTCGTCGTCGTCGTCGTCGTCGTCGTCGTCGTCCGTCCGGCGCGCTCCCGCGCGCACGGGGGCGCGACGCCGACGCCCGCCGGAGGCGAGCATGCTGAGCGCTCAGATGGCTGCGGCGGCGCAGTGAGCGCGGCGGGGCACGCCGGGCCCGGGATCCCAGGAGGAGGAGGAGGAGGAGGAGGAGGAGGAGGAGGAGGCGGAGGCGGAGGCGGAGGCGGAGGAGGGAGGAGGAGGAGGAGGAGGAGAGGAGGAGGGAGGAGAGGAGGGAGGAGGAGGAGGAGGAGGAAGAGGAGAGGAGGAGGAGGAGGAGAGGAGGAGGGAGGAGGAGGAGGAGGAGGAGGAGGAGGAGGAGGAGGAGGAGAGGAGGAGGAGGAGGAGGAGGAGGAGGAGGAGGAGGAGGAGGAGGAGGAGGAGGAGGAGGAGGAGAGGAGGAGGAGGAGGAGGAGGAGGAGGGAGGAGGAGGAGGGAGGAGGAGGGAGGAGGAGGAGGAGGAGGAGGAGGAGGAGGAGGAGGAGGAGGCGGAGGGAGGCGGAGGCGGAGGCGGAGGAGGAGGAGGAGGAGGCGGAGGAGGCGGAGGCGGAGGAGGAGGAGGAGGAGGTGTAAAAGGAGGAGGATGAGGAGGAGGAGGAGGAGGAGGATGAGGAAGAGGAGGAGGAGGAGGAGGAGGAGGAGGAGGAGGAGGAGGAGGAGGAGGAGGAGGAGGAGGAGGAGAAGGACGCGGGGGTGGAGGCGGAGGAGGAGGCTGAAGGCATGAAAGTCAGGTCAGATGCCAGGTAACGCCACGCACGGCGGGCCCCCGATCCGCGGGACCGGTGGTTACGACAAGCTGGGCCCACTGGGCCTGGCGGCCTGGCCACGGGCTGGCGTGCCACCCAAAGGCACCACGGCACCAGTTCAAGCTCTAGGGTAGAGCCCCAGCTTTCCAAGCTGGGTCCAGCCGTGGCGACGTTGAAGCACATGGCCGATCAACCGATTGACTGTATCAGTGGCGGCCCGCTCAGGACGAGAGGCCAGAGGCCTCGTCGATTGGCATCCGAGCGTTTGCACAATACGTCGACGACTGCCCGCCTGTCCTCATTGCCGACAATCTTTTCACACTCGCAGGTCTTCATCAGCATGTCGTCCACCTCTTGCTTAAGCTTCCCGTGTATGGCTACATTGAGCTTGCTCTCAACGGCCTGCTCGAACCCCCGCCTAAGGTACTCAGCGTACCATTACCGTCAGGCCCAGGCTCGCCGCCGCGGTCGCGCAGCGAGTCGCGCTGCATCGCGAGGGCGTCGTTGCGATCCAGCGCCTTGTGCACCCCCTGGTCCTGTGAGACCTCTGGCGTCTTCTCCACGGCGGCTCTGGCGGCCCCCTCGAAGCCCCACGGCGGCTCAGTATAGTCAAGCCGCGCAGTAAGGATGAGCGACTCTCCAAGGTTGCCCTTGCATCCTTCCCCTTCGGCCCATTCTTGGCCGCTTTCGCTGGCCGCGCCTCGCTCGCAAAGTGTCGACATGGCCTTCCAAGGCCCTTGCATCCTTATCGTGCATCCTTATGATACGAGTCGACTGTAGCCTCGTCGGCGTTGAAAGCCTCGGGCTCCGAGCCGATCTGCTTGGCGGTCTGCTCGGCGAGGGCGTCGTCCCGCTCCGTCGTTACAAGCGCCGCCTCCTCGGGGCCTTCAGCCTCGTCCAGTGGCGGGTACATGCCTGTCAATCCGCCAGCACAGCAGCCACCTCGCATTCACTCCCAGCCGTAACTTTGCCAGTCCCTCCTGACACCTCCCGGGCACCTGTCACCATTGGGGTAGCGCGTTCTGAGGGAAAAGGGTCCTGAGGTTTTCCACCGTTTTCGGGCTCTCGGGGCCTTCCCCGGGCCCCGGGACTGTCAGAAAACGACTCAGGATGAAGAACATGTTTTGGGGGAAGGCCCTGGGGTCCAGCACTCGTTTCCTACAGGACCCGTTTCCTCCATGCTAAGATGGGTCGAACGGTAGCTGGGCCAAGAAGCCCCCACACCCCCAGCCCCAGCGTGACCAACTCGTGGGTGCGCGCTGCGATGCCCTGTGAGTCGGGGCGCTCTGGGCAGGAAGAAGTACGGACACCAATCTTGCCCTTCGGCAGCTCCGCGCGGCGCATGTCACCGTCTGCGCGGCTGCCTGGCGCCGGTGTGGAGGCGGAGGAGGAAGAGGAGGATGAGGAGCAGGACTGGCACGTGACGTGGGGGAGCGGCATCCCGCCGCCCGAGCCTTCTCTCTCTCTCTCGCGCGGCCACATATCGGAAGAGAGCGGCGAAGACAAAGGACAAAGGTGCTGCGCTTCGCCAAAGCAGCACCGCCACTGCCCCGAATACTCGGCGGGGCGCCTGGGCGAGATCGACATTTTGCCCGCTCGCGCGGCCCTTGTGCCTCTTTCCGGCGATTCGGCGAGCGACACATCTGCGCCTAGCTGATTTTTCCATGCGAGGTGTGCGCGAAGCTTTGGCGAGAGCGACAAGTCGTCCTCTCGCGCGCGGTCCCGGTCGCAAAGATTGGGCGGTTGAGAAATATGCCCAGCGCCCGAACTGGAGTACAACGTCCAGGCGGCATCTGGGTGGCGCTTGGGCGATCGAAAAATGTGAGGTGCGCCTAGTCGGGAGTCCCTTCTTTTCAAGGCGAATGGAGCGCGTCGCCAAGGCGAGAACGACATCTTGCGTTTTCGCACGCGATACGTGTCCCGTCCCATTCTCGCCGCGCATTTTGTAACGCCGACGACCAAGCGTGCATGATGCGAGGACATACGTACGCTTCATACGTCGTTTTGATGGTTGGGATGGGCCAGTATGGGGCATGGCAAAGGGGGGAGAGAGGAACACGACGAGGAAAAGAGCCGGAGGAGGAAGAGATGAGAGCAACGAATAGGACGATGAGGATAAAGAGAGAATGAACATGACGAGGCGGAGGCAACCGAAGCTGGTGACCAGGAAACATATCATGAGGATGAGGAGGATAAGGATTACGAGGAGGAGCTGTAGGAGGCACAAAGGGGAGGAAGACAAGGAGGCGACTTTTGGACCAGAGTAGAGTAAACGGAGTAAACCCACGAAGCATCAATGATGCTGCAATCCGCCCTGGCATCCCAAGCCTCCTTCCCATCAGTCCCTACAAGTATTCCTTTCTGGTGTGGGAAGCGCACCCTGAGACGGTCGCCCCGTGAGCCTGCTATTCAGGGGAGACCTCGTTGGCTTTTCAATTCTTTCTAGCTACAAGAAGCGTAAAGCGATAGTGACAGAACGTTCACGGACGTGTCAAGCGAGAGCTCATCTTTGAAAAGGTTTCGTTCGTCCGTGTAAGCATTGCGCAATTGCAGAGTTCTTGTCGTAATATTCCAGGACATCTCAAGCGAGAGCCCCATTCAATTTCGCAGCCGCCCTCCATCCGTGTAGCTGTTGACAAGCTTGGGCGTTTGGCACCAGCATTGCACAGGAGCAAGCGGGAGCCCCATGTTGAAGAAGGAGTTGTCCTCCTCCTTGTCGGTGTTGGATCCTTTAACGGTCAGTGTGTGCAGCGCCAAGGTGAGAGTCCAACCCGATAACGAGCAGCTGTTGGACATATCGAGTCTCAAGATCAGCAATGGTGAGGAAGTCTACGGCGAGTCGCCTGGCCCACCCAAAGGACAGTTCTGGCGGTGCGACGGGGAAGCGGTATCTATGAGGATGAGGAGGGACGAAGCAGGGTTAGTGGGGAGGGTGCAAGGAGGGAAGCAGGGAATGGATGCTGGAGGATTGGAGAGCGGATCTTTGCATGTGGTTGCTACGTGCGTAGTTTCAATTCTCTTGTGCGTACGCAGCTTCAGATGCGTGGGCGGACGTCCAAAATATGAGCCGATCCATTGCCAGCACTTCGTCGTCGCCAATATCGTCAGTCTCACCCTCACCATTCCCCCCTCCTTTTCCTCCTACCAGCGTCCCTATCACTGCCCCCTCTCCCTCTCTGCCTCTTTCAGTTCGTTTGTCCCCTCGGTCCTTCATCCCTCTGCCTCCGCCTGTGTCCTTGCCCAAATCATGGGGGCAGTGACTCGCGTTCTATCAGTGCTGGGCCTTCATGCAGGCCGTGGGTCGTTAAGCCCAGCGTTCAACCCTTAGAAACATTGACCGCAGTATGTACTCGCTCGCGTTTGTTGTCTGTGGTTTGTTGTGTGCAAGTGTGCGTGTGTTTGCAGAGTGCAGGCAGGTGTAGGTAATGACATTCATGTATTTTCGATACTGGTCTATTGGGCAGCTTAACCCTTGTGTAATATTTCGTGAGATGCATTGCTCCTGGACCGTACTTCTGTGATGCACGTGGCCTTGTTGTCAGCATATTTTCTCAAACAGTGCTTGCGTTTGGGGGTTCTTACGTCTGTTCCAATGGAATCGGGTGGGCTCACTGAGGACTCGCCACGTTCCGGACCGTGCCCGCCCGTTGCTGCTTGGTTGCCGCCTGTTGCCGCTGGGAGGAGTCCGGCCAGGATTCGCCCCGTTGCCGCCCGTTGCCGCCCGTTGCCGTTTGGGGGGTCCGGCGAGTATGCGTCCCGCTCCTGGCCGTTGCCGCTTCGTGGTCGCACGTTGCCGCCCGGGATTTCCGGCGAGGATTCGCCATGCTGCCGCCTCGATGCCGCCTCGCTGCCGCCTCGTTGCCGCCTCGTTGCCGTTCTCGGGGGGTCCGGCGAGGGTTCGTCACGTTGCCGCCGCGTTGGCCGCCTGGTTGCCACCTCGTGTGCTGGGTGGGCGGCCCGAGTTGTTGCCGCCTCGCCGCCACCTCGTGCGTTCCCTCATCCGGTTGGGAGACTCGAGGGGTCGAGAGCACGACATCGGAAGCTGTAGCATATGCATTGCCAATGGCGGGTGGTTTTGCAATCCCAGGACTTCTTTGAGGGTCGGGGACGACGTCGGGGTGGTGTGGTGTATACTTGTTTCCCCGATGTCCTGGGGAAACAACGAAAATTGTATGCACCAGGGTCAGGGTCCCGTATATACACCAGGATCCGCTCTCCAGTGCAAATTCCAATTCAGGGCCAGAAGAAGCGTCGGTGTATAGAGTTCGATTCCCTACCCTCATCCAGCTGGGAGGCTCGAAGGATGCAGAAGACGAAACGCTGGCATTTCTGTGGATTCGAAGCGTTGCCA